ATTTGTGAACAACATCAAAAATTTTCCCTAAATTTAAGACTGCTGCCTAAATGTCGCCATCTTCAAACAGCCAGCTGTTGGACGTCAGATGTGTTCAGTGTGTGTTGGAGGAGAACAGGAGAGCACCTGAGTGAAACGTTCTGTAGGTGGCGCAGTGGGACACACGACCCCTTACACTCACGTGAACCATTCCTGAAGGTCGTTTAGACTGCTGTCGGCTTTAAGCTGCTTTGCTGGGTCTTTTCCTGCAGTTCAGTCTGAACGCAGTTTAGTGCGCAACATCTGGATTTGGACTTAATGTATCGTATCCCTTTCTATGCTATTCTCAGAGACTGGATCTTCCATCACTGCCTCCTGTGTCGGCCTTGGAAACTCGTTGTCTCCCCCTGCTGGTCAAGCTGGCAAGCCTGTACCGGGCTATAATGGTGAGGGCATTCTCACCATTTTCAGTTTTCTCAGCCGTCATGGAAACCAATCTGTGTTTAATCACAGCCCCAATCTAGAGGTAGTATTATTTCTAAACATGCTATATATCTGTTGCCTGAGTAATCAATTGTGCTGTTTATGGATTGATTTTATTATTGATATAATTTTTCTTGGTCACCCTTATGGAATGGTTTTTATTTATGTGTACAGGAAAGCCATCCCTGTACTTACCTTTGTGATATTGAAGGATTGAGCAAAATATCACAATTGATCCAAAAATAAAAACAAAATTCAAAGGTGAAATTCACATTGGCTCAATTAATTCCCGTTTTGGGGCGGCTGAGTCATTTATCAGCATGACAGCAGGGGTAAGTGTGAGCACTGATCAATGCAGCTGGAGCCTAATGTGGCTTTCTTTTTCTTCAGTGGAAATTGTGGATGACAACATGCAGAAGGTGAAGCCGAGAACTCTGGGAAATATCGTGGTCAGGTAAAATCAAGAGGCAGTAGCTTTGTGTTTTGTTCTGGTGCTGGTGTTTGTGCTGATGCATGTACTGGTACTGGTGCTCGTGGTGCTGTTTGTACTGGTACTGGTGCTTGTACTGGTGTTGCTGTTGATGTTTGTGCTGATGTTTGTACTGGTACTGGGGCTGAGGTTGGTGTTTGTGGTGCTGTTTTGTACTGGGACTGGTGGTTGTACTGGTGTTTCTGTTGGTGTTTTGTGTTTGTGTTTGTGCTTGTACTGGTATCGCTGTTGGTGCTGGTGATTGTACAGTCCCTCCTGTTCTTGCTGTTCCAGTTCAGGTTTTTATCCCAGCCTGTCAGTGCACCCAGACACCCACCTGGGGGGGTGGAGTGGGGGGTGAGTCTGCAGGTTAGTGTCTGTGATTGGAAGGTCGTTGGATCAAGTCCCATTGCTGACAGAGTGATATCAGCATTGGTTTCTTCAGCGTGGCCCTTAACCCCAGTAGCTCCAGGGTCACTGTAAGACTCTGCTCTCTGATCCTTGCTTGTACGTTACTTTGGACAAAAGCATCTGGTAAATAAATGTAATATGATGTGATAAGGGCAGGGCCCTGAAACCACTTCCCGCCCCCCCGTCTCCAGGAGTTTGCCCTGCTGTCAGCTAGTCGCCTGTCTTTACTCTTTCAGTAGTATTGCTGTTTATTTCCTCTGTGGCAGTATAAGGTGAAGCCGCAAGATGAGCCAGTCTTTAGCAAACTGACAGTTTAAATCTCCATCTTTGGAAGAGAATCCAACTGTAACTGATACAAAATGGAATTCCTTTCAATGGGAAAAAAACAGTAAGACGGTCTAAATATCCTTTCCTGATATAAATGTTGCTGGTGCTCAGTGCTTCTGCACAGACCACTTGCATCATTTGTCTCTTGCTTCCTGTTAAAACAGGCATTTTAGGAAAATGGAACATGTGAATTGTTGACCCAGTGCTTGTGGCTTAGACACTCCTTGAGCCTGACTCTCTAGGTGCTCAAGTCTGGTCAAATATCATGCAGACATGCGCAGAGTCAGAAATCCTTTCTCTAAAATGTAATCTTATTTTCACTGCAAATCCCTTAAAGGTGCATAAAAAGCTTGTGGGGTCTCAGTGAGCATATTACATGTCTGTTATCTAAAAGGGAATTCTTTCTTGCACTAAACCGGCGAAGGTCTGTTGGAGAGTGAACCCTTTGCGTACAAATGCTGATCTTGTGCTGATGATGGATTCAACATGGCAGGCCTGTACTCCGTCTCTCTGAAGGAGGCCTGTGTGCTTTGGCTGTGCTGATCTTCTCTATCCCCGCTTCAGCGTGACGCTCTCCGTTCAGAGGCTGTGGACTTCAAACCCTGAGCTGCTCATGCGATTAAATGTCCCACCAGGTCCCTTCAAGGTAGCGGTTTCTGCCAGGGCTTTAACAGTCAGACTGACTCTTTGCTCTGTGAGCCATCAGCCCCCTTTGGCTCCTGTCAGAGCACGGTGCAGTTTGTGGACACCTCTCTCCATCGCACACCAGCCTGGTGGAAATACATGGGCTCCTCTACGAGGCGCCGTACAGCAGTGATGAATGTGTCTGCTCTTGGTCTTTCTCTCTCTTCCTTAGGCTGCCTCTGCCACCGGGGGCTGCGTTGTCCCTCTGGCAAAATGACAAGCTGTTTAAGGAGCTGTACTTCACGAAGTTCCCTGTACGTGCTGTTTGTAACTAGCTGTTGCTCTTCTCTGACTCATTTGGATTTTTGGCAGCGGAAGCCTAGGAATCTCATGTTTTTTTACATATGAACATTACCAAATGGAGGGATTGTGCAGTTACAGTATAGTCTAGTGTAGTGTAATATAGTGTTTGGCCAGCATTATTTAATATGCTTGGTCTTGTTTCCAGTTTGATGGCTCCATCTAGTGGTGGAAGCCCTGTATTCTCTCAGTGACAGCAACAGCATTGTTAAAAAGTTATTTATACTGTTAGTGTCCAAACTCTCCTGTAATATTTCCTTGTTGAAACGCCGCGTTCCTTACTAACATGGATGGTTATGTTCACTTCTGCCCTCTAGGGTTACTACGATACCATGGATGCAGGCTTTGTTGATGAGGAAGGATTTGTGTACATAATGTCAAGGTCCGATGATGTCATCAACGTGGCGGGACATAGGCTGTCTGCTGGGGCTCTGGAAGAGGTGATTCAGGACCTGGGCGGGGGGAATGCAAGGTGGTAAACTAGTATGGGTTAAGTGAAGTGTCCCCTGCTATCTCTTAGGCTTTGATGCAGCACCCCCTGGTGGTGGACTGTGCTGTAGTGGGACTGGAAGACTCTCTGAAAGGCCATGTTCCTCTCGCCCTCTGTGTGCTGAGGATGGGTGAGTGTGGACTAGCACTGAGGAGATGCCTCTGTTGTAGGCTATAATGTAGAAGTAGTTAATGGGCCTGATCCACCTCCAGCTCCCATGCTCCTAGTCTCAGCAGAACCTGTCTTTTGCAGTTCTGTGAAGTCCTCTGTGCATTCCCTCTCTGCATCCCCTCTCAGACCCCAAGCAAAACCAGAAAGAGGTGGTGGGTGAACTGGTGAGCATCGTGCGTGACAGGATTGGACCTGTGGCGGCCTTCCGGAAGGTGCTCTTTGTGAAGGCTCTCCCGAAGACACGGTCTGGAAAAATCCCCCGATCCACACTTGCCAACCTTGTCAACAGGAAGCCCTACAAGGTGTGTGTGATTGTCAGTTCTGTTCACTGTGGGCACGTTTACACTGCACCAGGTACCGTACTCTTGGTACTACTTTCTACTGGGGTAAAAACTGCTACTGGTACCAAATGATATCACAATGCGAGGTGGGGTATTTTGTGCTGAAGTAAAAAAATGGCTGTAGTATGCTATAGGACTGGATGATGTGCGATATTAATACCAATATTGCATGTTATGCAATTCTTACATCACTGGTCAGCTAGATTAAGATCAGGCATTTTCATATTGTATGAGCATTATAGTGTGGAGAATTTAATTTTCACTAAAACATTTTTACTCTGTCATAAGAAAAAAAAACTTTTATTTTTTTTTATTTTGCAATTTTAATAACTGTTCCTTTTCAAGATTATCCATCCATCCATTTTCTGAAACAGATGATCCTATTCTGGGTCATGGGGTGTCTGGTGCCTATGCTGGAGGCTATGGGTGCAAGGCAGGGAACAACCCAGGATGGGGCGCCAACCCATTGCAGGGCACACTGACATACCAGTCATTCACATATGCATACCTATGGTTACATTTGGTAACTTTAGGTAGCTTCAGAATGCTGGTTCACCGACTCGTTTATGGTTGTTTTCTGAGGGCAACTTTTTTCAAGACAGCAGCTGTATTGTGTTTAGAGGCAGCCCATTTGCACAACTAGTCAACAAAGGAAGCCTTTGCAATTCCTACGACAAAGAACCGAAGTACAAAAAAAGTACTGGAACTTTTGGTACTGGTACTCAACTTGAAGTCAATGGAAAAAGTACCGAAAGTACTGTACCAAAAGAACTGTACCTGGTGCAGTGGAAAAGCACACTGTGACTTGAATGGCTGAAGACTAATGTCTATCTGTGCATTGGCCTTGTTTAATGTGTTCCTCCAGATCACTCCCACCATTGAGGACCCTGGAGTCTTCAATGAGGTTGAGAAGGTTGTTGGAGAGGCCCTGTGAGGTGTCTGGGGGGGAGCTTAAGTCAGCTGGAACAGCAGAAGGACACTGTCGTGCTGTACATGCTCCTGCAGGTCTGGAAATGACAGGAGTTGGTCACTCCAGAGATGGTCTATGGTCCACAGCTAAAGATCTCACCTGCAGTCTGCATCATAAAGCAAGATTTCTCTCTTTGCCGGGACCCTAGTGTAAATGGACTTTTTTGGTCACGCGCAATTAGCCCAGCCAACCTTAAATACAAGAAGTTATCTAGCTACCACTCACTTCGCGATACACCCCCCTGGTGTCGTCTAAGGTCAGCAACAAAGGTTTCTGCAGTCAGCTGGATGGATTTTTCCCCCCCAGAAACTCCTGTACTCAAGAAGGTTTACCTATAAACACAGTGGTTGAGTAGTAACATCACATGGACTCCTGTTTTAATTCCTGTGATTCGACAGTTTTTTTTATTGACAATGAAAATCTTACCACCATTTTACTATTTTCCAAAAAACAGTAATAAATTAAATGGACACAAAATAAATTCTCTGTACGTGCAAAACAAGAACATAAAACTCCAGATGAATAAGTAGGTAGGAGTCATACGTGGGGGGCGGTGGGGAGGGGCAGGAATAAAATCAATGTTGAGCTAAGAGTAAACAGAAAAGACACGGGAACGGAAGAAGAAGAGATCACCCCTGGCACGATGTCAACAGCTACACTAAACAGTCAAAGCAAGCAACACATTGAGCTGAGTTCCTCTGGCGTTTGACACGTTCATATTTACCACATACAAGTTCGGCGGCCTGTCTCTCGACCGTTCTTCCTTATAAAGTGACTCTGGGGTTAAAGTCCATGGGACGGAAAAAGGCCTTTTGGGCTGAGGGTCCAGCACAGCGGCGCCAGTCCGGCTTCTGGCGCACCAGCTAAGTTGATGGTTCGGTTGCACACGTCAGGAGGAGAGGAGTAATCAGCTCCTTGTTATGCAGAGGTCAGCGTGCGTGGTTTCTCTCAAAGTGCTCGTCACAGCGGCTCGCTGTCACAGTGCGCTCCTCCATGCCCCTGGCTTCCCCCCCCGCCCCGCGTTGCGCCGGTGACACACGAGCACATGGCTGTACACCACCAGGGGGCGATATGCGTTCACAGCTGAACGTAAAAATGGCGTCGATCAGAAAAAAGACCAAGGTGAGGAGTGGAAAGAAATGCTTTTAAGCGCGAGGTCCTCCTTCCGCTAAGCTTTGGGGACGAAGGAAAATCCAACGTACGAAATAGCTGTAAGGATGGAAAAAAAAAGTCACAGCAGCATCTTTCACCTGCGGGACTGACATTCAGGGGACGTGTTCGGCACAAAGTTGCCTCTGTGATGTACGCGCTTATAAAAAGCAGTATTTATATTCATTTACAGATAACTTCAACGATTTCCATTAGAAGAAATACACATCTTAACTAGTTATTTTACAAGGTATAAATAGCAAAAAAAGAGGCTGTGGGACATTGGTTAGCACCCGGTTTGGTGGCCAGATTAAGGACTTGGCTTGCAAGTGCAGAGGGGCCATCCTGGGCCTTGGCACCCCCCCACCGGCACCCCCCACGTGCCCCTGCTGGGCCCTTGGTTCTGAGGTGGGAAGGGGGGGGTCGTGCTTCTTGGCAGTGCGTCTTGTCGGAGCTCTGTTCCTTGTATGAGGTCCTGCGGAGGGGACTCCTTGCCCGCTTCTGAGGTAATGGGGGCAAAACGAGGGCTAACAACCTGTTGGATATGGAGATGCTTCAGATACTGGGAATGACTGTGGGAATGTCACTGAAATGCCCGAGTTCAGGGTGCGGAGTAACTAACCACTGCCATGTATCAGGTGAGTTATTTCCATTGTATTTCTGCCGTGTGTCCAATCATAAAGTCTATTGCAGGGGTCTCCAACTCCGGTCCTGGAGAATTACTATCCAGTAGGTTTTCTATCCTACCTGGCTTCTGATGAGCCACACCTTTTCTCAGGTAAATACCAGGAACAGTTGTGGCTCATCTGAAGCCAGGTAGCACAGAAAACCTACTGGATTATAGCTCCTCCAGGACCGGAGTTGGAGACCCCTGATCTACTGTGTAGTTTATTAATTACTAAACATTATAGGTCAGCCCTGACCTACTACTCACTGCAGAGCCTCTCCCCCTCCAGTAAGAATGTCAGCACGAGTAGGTCCTCACAGTGGAGCTGTCCAGCCTCTGCATCGCCGACGGGCCCACTGCAGACAAAGGGAAACGTCACCTCAAGCGACCCCTTGTGGCTGGAGGTAAAAAGCACACAAAGTGCAAGTATTCACACGATTACTGAGTCTGTTACCCAGTCAACAGCGTGACACTTGGGGACAGCCGGGACCCGTTCTGATGAGGGTTGTACCTTAGACGTGTTGATTGGATGTAAATTTAAAGATCACAGACATGACTGCAGTATTTTCACACCGGGGGCAGGTTTTCACACACAGACGTCCTGTTTCAAAGCCCTCATCTGGTGTGCATTCCTGCTCGTGCTGTGAAACTGAGAGGGCGGGAAACGTGGGACACTGAAAGGTCAGCTCACTGAGGATGACAGGCGGGGAGGGCAACAGGATCTGGGGGTGGGGCATGTAGGGTGGTGAACTCCACCAGTATAGCTGACCTTAACACCAGTCCTCACATATGTCCTCGGGACAGCTGTCCAACACCTCATAGAGGACTACAGTGCCAAGTTGAAAAAAAATGATAGGGACACAGTCAAAAAGGAGGGGACACAGTGACCCAGAGTCTGCTGTAGGGGTGACGATTAGGCAGCAGATCCAGCACCATGAAAGTTCGCTGTCAAAATCAAAATATCTAACACTGATTTAACACTTAGAGAAGTGTTAGTGTAATTGTGCCCGTTACAGAGCTAGAGGATATTTGGGCCCTATTACTCCCAGCCTGTATGTTACAGGACTGTGTAGCAGAAATCGCCCCCCTGTCCTCCCCACACCCACCTTCGGGGGGCATCCTGCGCGAGTGTCCAGAGGTGGTGGTGAGCCGGAAGCCGGCCGGCAGCGTCTCCGCAGCGCCGGGCATCATGCTGATCCCGTGGAAGTCCCGTGGTGGAAACTGTCTCCTCCAGGGGGCGCTACGCTGGAAGTCCTTGTCGTCACACTATGGATTGGGGGGGTAAGAGAGAGGTTGTGCTATTGTGTTAAACTCTGGGTGACATGCTATATGTACACTACCGTTCAAAAGTTTGGGGTCACTTAGAAATTTCCTTGCTTTTGAAAAAAAGGCAAGTTTTTTGTGCATTAAAATAACAGATTGATCAGAAATACTGTGTAGACTGGTGTTGTTTCAACCTTTCTGAGATATAATGGACTGGAGGGGGGGCTGCATCACTGCCTGTACCCTTCTTGGTATGATAATGATGCATTAATCTGCCATATTATTTGCGTTCTTGGTAAGTCAGCGCTCTACCGTTACTGTCAGGGAGCTGTTCTGGAGACACGATGCGTCATCGGTCTCTGGTGTGTTGCAGCCCAGCTTACCCAGAGTATAGCAGTGAGTAGGTTCAGTGACCACATGAGTACTGTACTGAAGCGTAATGATTATAGCAACAGGAAGATCAGCCGGCTGCCGCTGCTCTGCTGAGACACAGACAGGTGGGTCCCACTCACTTCCAGACGCCTCTCTGTGCCCAAGGCTAGCAGGTTGTTGTACTCTCTCTCCAGGATCTGCCGTGCCTGGGGGGGGTTGCATCATGAATATGGTCATCTCTGCCCCCACTGTAAATACTATCATCATCCCTGAAAATGGAGCACTTTCATATACAGCCAAAAGTTTGGTCTGTCTTCAAATTTGAAGCGCTCATTGAAATCACCAAGGTGGGGGCTACATAAAATGTCACTCAGGAGACAGTTTTATGCACTATTAGGACAGTTTCCCATAAGTTTTAAAGCTGCCTTTTAGCTTTTGATCCAATTTTTCCTTAAAATGATTTAATGGTTTTTTGAAATTCTGCTTGAAATTACTCTGGGAGATCATAAAATGTTGCATATTTAAAGATCTTCATCGGTTTCTGCGCATTAAATCATTTCAAATGAACAGGACTGTTTCAGGGTAGCCCCGGCTCTTAATTATACCGCCGCGGGATTTACTAAACGAGTTTCACGCCTCACCTGCGTGCTCTGGTTGGGGATCTGCAGCAGCAGAGCCAGGCTGCTGTAGTCGAAGTTGTCGTCGAGGGCGATGAGGGATCCGTGCACGCCGCTCTCATGCAGGATGTTGGCGTGGTCACGCAGCCCGATGCTCTGCACCCAGCGGATCACGCGCTCGTTGCTCCACACCAGTACGTCTACAACAGCGTGCATATAAAGGCTGCCTATCAGATGGATTAGAACTAACTGGTTTAACTGTACAATCAAGTTACAAATTTTTCCCACTGTCCAAAAGTAGAACGTTCTTGCGGAACCTTTCGTAAGCTGAAATGGCGTAAAGCAAAGCAGCATTTACCATTAATTTGTATAAGGAAAAATTTTCAGCGCTCCCGGACCCAATGAATAACCCATCAAATCAGTCAGTGCCTGTGATCAGAAGATCACCCATTGGAGCCCCGTCCTTAAGGAAACAGTCACATGCCAGTGGGCCCTTGAGCAAGTCCCTTAACCCCCAGCTCCAGGGGGACGGCACGTTAGCTGACCCTGCACTGTGACCCCCGAGCTACGGAGAGCAAGACGGGGCAGGCAAAGAGAAGCAGTCCAATGCTTGCGTAAATGGCAAATAAAGCATGTTTGTTTTTGTTTGGTTGACATCATAAATACACAGCTTATTTAAAATATATAGTGTAATAATGTGTACAGTGTAGATTCTCTTACCGGAATCAATACAGTCATGCATTGCTTATCGGCAGGGATACGTTCTAAGAAATGCGACATTCAGAGATTTTGCCTTTGTGAGAACATCAGAGAGAACTTGCATAAACCTACTGCACACCTAGGCTGCATGGTATAGCCTAAAAAATGAAAAAACATTATAGTAAATACATAAATCCTTTTTGTATTTCTTTCGGTTAAAGAAAACAGATACTAATGTAGGTCTTTCATAAAAGCAAAGTGGTGTAAAGAGAACGTTCGAGAAGTGGGGGGTACCTGTATTAGACCATATCAATGGAAGAACCCTGCAGGTCCAGCATCATTATGAACACAACCCCAAAGAGCAGTATGAAAGGCACGGGGAAGCCCCAGGCGGCCAGAGCACACCTCTTATCTCATGCTGGCTGTGTTCTCTCCTCCACTCCAGCTCTTTCCTGTCATAGTTCAGCTTCTTTAAGCACATGATTCCATACTGCAGACTTGTCCTGTTGTAAGGTGATAGACAGCCGTAGAGTACATCTTGCATAAGTTATGGCTGACCCGGGTTGCATGGTAGGGGCCTGAGCTGAGACGAGCTCACGGGCACGAGACGAGGCGGGAGGTACCTGTGGAAGCTGTCGACCATCTTGAGGTGCACCCTGAGGTCTTTCTTGGTGAGGTGGTCCAGCATGCGGGCGTCGACCAGGCACTCCATGAAGTAGCTGCGGTACTGAGGGAGCCCCAGACTGGGCAGCCACTCGTTACCGATCCACTCGTGGTTCATGTCTCCATACGCGAGAGTCTGCAGGACACAGCATCGCCTGTGTTTCTAATGCAATGGTAACATAGCAGCACAGACCTCTTGCTTGTGGTACTAATTTCACACCGTTTTCCCTCCAATATTTGCGCCAAGAAACCAAATATGCTGAAACCCTTTATTCTCTTGCATGCATCCATGCCTTATCTAGATCCCAAGACAATGATGTATATAAAACAAAGAATATTTTTTAAAAATCAAGCAAATAACTATTGGAACATAACATGCAGTGGATCAGACATAGCGAAAAACATCTCGAGTTTCCAACAAAAACGCCCCAGAGGAAGCGTTCTTGGAATGTTTCATTCCTCTCACTGCTCTTTTGACTATATGCCCCTTGGTGGCTTCAGCTGCCTTCTACCCGAAGTCCCATCCGAATATTGAGGACTTTTGGGAACTTGGCTGGGATGGAGACGGGGATTGTTGTCTTACCTGGGCCCAACTTCCCTCTTCAGAGTCTGATTTCTGCATGGTCAGCCAGCGATGTGCCACAGGTGGAAAGAGAAGAACATAGTACACGGTGGTCTCAGTGAGGCTTGGTTGGGTCATGTTCTGCACTGGACTTTGGCGGGACCTGATTTACACCAAGCCTCAGCTGAAATACTACAGCTTTAGGAGAACTTGGCACTTGGTGCATTTCTGGGACTAGTTTGACTTCTTGTACAAATGTTCAAGTTTGTTAAATTATATAGTCGAGAGAATGTTTGAGAGCCTTTTGGAATTTCTTCATGAATCCTAAAATAAGATCTCTCTCTTCCCCAAGTCGGGGGTTTTCAGCCTTTCTTAAACCAGCAACTCCTGAATGAAAACAGCACAATTAGGGACCCTGACCACTGGTGTGGTCATATAAATAAGATCTAAGAAGGGTGGGCCACTTCTGTATGTCATTCTCCACAGATGCTGATATTGACGTTTCATTAATTTACAAAGTTTCCTCTGCATTGCCTCATCTTTATTGAACAAATGTTTTAAATTATCAAGGTCATTGAAGGAAAAGATTTGTGAATCTCAAAGATAATAACCTCTTGAAAACTGGTTAACAGTCAGATGTTCCAATCAGTTCAGGTGCGGGTTTGACCTACCCTACTATATCTATAAAAAACACTCATAACTGAATTCTGTTCAAACTTCAGAAGATGAGTCACAAGCCTGGAAAGTGTTATGGAAGGATCTCTAAAGAACTATGCCACAGTTTACTTCCTGTTTACAACTGGGAATTCAGCACCACTGGTACCTTCCCATTGGACTGGGCATCCTACAAAAGTCAGTGCAAGAACATGTGGTAGAAGAATCCTAAGGCGAGCAACAAAGGAGCCTTGGGTGACAGCGAAGGATCTGTGGGCATCTTTCACACTTGAAAATGTATGGCGCTACTTAAAAAAAAATTTGCTAAACACAAGTGGTGTTCACTGGAGGTCACCACAGAAACCACTGCTCTCCAAAAAGGACCTTACTATCCATTTCAAGTCTGGTAAAGGCCCTCTGAATGATTTGCAACACTACTGGAATGTTCTGTACAAGAGAGTACTGCTGGCAGAAATTTCCGGTCCAGAAAGTAAAAATCCAGACCAAGATTTTGTTTCGACCAAACAGTTGAGTACTCTCTGAATGCGAGAGAGTTGAGTACTCTCTGTTTATACTCAACTGCCTAAATCTTGGTCTGGATTTTTACTTTATGGACTGGAAATTTCTGCCAGCAGTACTCTGTACTGCTACTAATGTTCTTAGATATTTTTTCCATAGCTGATAAAGTATTTTGCATGCTGGTCACATTCTGCTGAGAAAAATCTCTCAAATATAAAGGCTTATATCATCTAACCTATATTTGCACAAGATTTTCACAACTCTTAATACGCTGCTAATATTACAAGTAAAAATTCTCACAAGAGTTCACGCTATTCACACAACCTGACAGAATTATCCATCTTACTTTAAATCAACTGGGACACACTCGCTGCTAAAATGAGTTGTTATCCCTGAACTAGGGTTTAACTGGAATGATATGAACTATACATAATGAAGCAGTCGCTACACAACGGAGTCCACAGCCCCCAGAGCTATAAGACTCCAGGGTGATTAACACACATCCATGTGAAACCTGCGCCTCTAGGTCAGGCATCCTTAAATGTGTGCTAATTTTCACTCACAATCTTACAGTAAGGTTGGGTGCATGGGTAGTTTATAAGTTATTCTTGAGATGGTACCCATTCAACTGAAATTGCACACATGATTGTTAATTTAAGGTGACACCAGTGATGTCAGCACATGGAGAGCACTCATAGGAGTTTTTTTTTTTTTTTACACAAACATGTTCCAAGGGCAGAACGAAAAATGATTGGCCCAGAGAGATAACCAATCAGATCTTGGTCAGATGTCAGACCAACCCATCCCGCCTCCTCTAGTTGCTAGGACCTGCCTCCACTACAGTCTGATTAGTTATCTCTCTGAACCAAACAATTTTTGTTCTGTCCTGAGAACATTTTGGTGTAAGTAAATCTCCCACAAGCATGGAGAGCTGGTACACTTCCTGTGTGTATCCAAAGAGATTGTAGGTTTAAGCTTGACAGATGCTTTGTACAGCTTCACTGTAACACTGTAAAAGCCTGATAATCCAGATCAACTAACTAGCATAAATGTCTATACTGCAACCCTGCTTTGCGTGATGACATTTCTGCAAGAGTATAAAAACAAACAGCCCTGTTCTGTCATACATCATCCTGTGAAGGCTCATTAGTAATTTTGGGGCTGTAAAATCTTACACTTGGCTGTTCCACAAAATACTGTGCAACGTTTGAGAAAATGGTATTTCTGTTAGCCTGCACCATTGTCCCTAGGAAAAACTTAAAAAGGTGTATCTTTAATCATAAGGAGAAATGGTTTTTACTTTTATGACCTTCAAAACATCTCAAAACCCACAGCCACACACTTGGATGTGTCATTTTTTTTAGGGCTTTTTAAAACATTTTTACTATACTTGGGTGCACTAAAAGCCAGCCTGAATTAATTTCTCCTATCAGACGAGAATTCATCGTCTGTAATTCTTATAGCTTTTAAGGGTAGTACAAGCATGGCTAGAGTTATGACTTTTTCATGCTTAATGCAAATGCACTCATTCTGGCATATATGACTTAAAAATGGTAAGGACACATGCCATAGGAAATGTGTAAACCTGGGAGTATCTACAGCAGCACTAAATAGCGAAAGAATGGGCCGATCTGCAGCACTTGCGTGTTCTGTGTCCCACCTGCGTTCATTCTTCTGACAATTACGAGTAACATTTACAAGGCATGCACACAGAGGCTGGGGGGGGGGTGAGTACGCACTACAGGCAGACGAAAGCGGGGGAGGGGGGCACGGGACTGACCGTTCTGGTGGGAGCTGCAAGGTTCTCCATTTCCTCGTGGGTCACCCAGACATTGCCTGAGGGCTAGTGGGCGGAGCCCATGAGCGACAGCGACAATCCACGAGGGGCAAGCAGTGTTAAAGAAGAAGAGCATCACCACTGTAAGCCAATAGTGTTATAGCATCACAATCAGATGAGCAGCTGGCCCCGCCCTCCTGGGTCAGGGAGAGTTACACAGGTTTCAACAGCAACGCGAACGACACCTGGGACGAGACACGGGACTGGCACTGAATTCCTGTCTTATTAAATTCACGTTTATGACGGGGGACAGGGAGGTGCCACAAACGTAGACAACATATGGTGAGTAGCAGGACTGATGGGAGGGTTAGTGAAAATTACAAACAGACACCACAGTGTATCTATGCGGTAATACGTTTCTGCAGCTGTGTGGTTTCCAAGTTCACATCTGCTGACCCTCGTAATCCAAAACTGTAGCAGGCTGGTGCTCCAGCAGAACAGCCAGAGATAGCTGCACCACTGCCTCTAGCTGCTGCGGCGGGAACTGAATCACGGGGAAACTGAGGCTGCATACAGACTCACTGGGTGTATTTCCAGACACAGTACTAATCAGATCACCCGAATAAGCTGAATTATGAATAAATACGTTTTGAAAAATATTCTTTAATTCATAAACATAGTCACACCTGTTTGAAGGGGGAAAGACTGACATTTGGATAATATAGGCCATAGGCTGGGCTCTCCTATGCACTCAATCACAAGCCCCCATTTGGACTTTATACCCAACGGTGCCACTTTCTCCCTATCAGATTCAGAGCCTGTGCTGGGATGGGGGCTCTTCTGGTTGAGGAAAACCGTAGGTGTCTGACTGAAGCTGCCTTGTTCTTGGGCTTGAAAGATTATAGTTGATATGCATATGAATCAAATTGCCATGCCAACAGAAAGTGTTTTTTTTTCTATGAAAGACAGAACAGCAGCTCCTGCAGGGATGACTGAGATGCTCTAAACAAGCTTCAGTACCTTCCCGTACTTTTCAGGCAGCTGTGCTCCTGTTATGAAAACACAAAGACCTGCTTTGGTAGGTCTACAGGAAATGCTTCATGACTGAAATGTGAGGCACCTGACATTCTGTTGCTAATACACAAAAGGAAAACACACTTCTATATTACAATTTGTGACATGGATGTTATGGTTTGTAGTTTTAGTACAGATGCTCCTCGCTTTACGATGGTTTGACTTCACGATAGTGCGACAGTGATGCACATGCAGTAGTCAGAAAATTTTGAATTTTTATCTGTTCCCGGGCTATCGATATGCCATACGTTACTTTCTACTGATGTTGTGCGATGGCAGCATCTATGCAGGAATGCTACCAGTCTTTGAAGTTTTCAAAGTATTCAGCTTGATCAGCTTCTTCGGAACTTAACGGCATCATAAGTTGAGAAGCATCTGTTAGTTTGGTTGTTAACTCAAGACCCCAGTGTAGTGAATCAACAATGAGAGAGAAAAAAGAAGAGCCCGCTTTGAAGCAAGGGCTGCAAACGTTGACCTTTGACCTCCTGAATGACAGTGTGCGACTGTGGCTGGGTTAGGACTCACAGTTCTGGAGGTGGGAGGAGCTGAGGGGCTGGTCAGGGACACCATCTCCTGGATGGCCAGGCGCAGCTTGAGTCGATGAAGGGGGTTGCTGATGCCGATCTCACGCTGGATCTCCGTGTCCGACAGTGCTGACATGATGGCGCCGCTCTTCACGTTGGCACGGCAGGCTGCCACATACCAGGCGGGCATGCCTAGCCAGAGCTGCCAGGGAAGCGAGGCCACCATAAATGGTATGCAAATATTTAAATATCAAAAAAGACATTCTACTTTGGTTCAAGCTTGTGTTGCGGTTACTTGCTCTACATTAACTTCTTATTGTGGATCATTTCCTGATCAAATTTACTTGTCTTCACTGCAAAGCTGATGTTGGCCAGCAGGTGGCAGCAGTGATTCAAAACAAGATACATTCCGCGCAGAGGCAAGACATCATATGGCAATATATCGTTAGCAGCGGAAGATATGGTCACACCTTTGTATAATAAAGACAAAATTATTTATAAATTCAATTTATGCGCTCCAGGGAGTACAAAGATGCACAGCTTCATGTTTTTTGCATAATTGCGATTGTAAAACTGCTGTAAAACCTGCCCCTGCGTATAATTACATGTAACTCATTAAGCGAAGCCATAACTACGACTCAGAGTGACTCATAAAAACATTCTCAAGGTAACGGCCTCATGCAGTACATGCAGCATAATGGAGCAATTCAGCTACTTAACACATTTCACTAACGGACATTCATTTATTTTTAACCATTGCGATAGGCTGGTTTTACGCCGTAAGACAGAAGCACAGAGCTGCCTCTTGGGTTGAGGTCTTACCTCCAGCCAGGCCACCACGGTGGGGCCGTCCCACTGGGCAAAGGGTAAGCCCTTCCTGCGAGCCTCCTCCAGCAGCTCGTGCCTGCGGGGGGAGCGAGGAGGGGTGGGGGCGGTGAACTTGGATTCGACGACCGTGCATACGTACACGCTTGCACACGCACCGACACACTGGCGGAGAGCGAACATCACAAGCTTCGATTCCAAGCGCAGACCCCTGGTTCGCAGAGTGGGGGGGATGCTTTTACCCCCACCCCCCCTTTCTCTGGCACAGCATGGACTCATTCCACTGTCCCTTTGCATATTTAAAAAAAAACCTGCTGATTTAGGTGGGAAAAACATCTTGCTGATACACAGATTATTTTTGCTAGAGCAGGATTTGAGTGACTATTTGTTCCCACACAAAAATGTTATAGATCATTTTGTGAAGTATTCCAGAGTATATGATTCGGCAATGATGTATACACCCCATTAATGTATCAATGGTCTCTTTTGCCATCTATTCTGGCATCAAGACATTTCCTCCTGAACTTATTTGGCTGCCCGCTTCATGTCGACATGTGAGTGACATCACTAAGCTTCAATCTGACTCCACCCATCTTCATATCCTGGTGCTCCTGGGACCTTCTTTGCAGCGTCCAATCAAGTACAATAATGTGCTTTGGTCACACACTGGTTATGACATCACTGACATAAAAAGACATGCTGGACATCCAGTGGACACAGCTGGGAGGGAAGGAGAGGGTTACAGAAATGGGGCTGAGAAGTGAGAGGGCGAGTGGTTATTCATTAATACACACACACACACACACACACACAGGTTTGTAATTATATCTTTGTGAGGACTTTCCATTCATTTCTATGGGCAAAACTCTAATCCCAACATGACACCCTTAACCCCCACCCAGCCCTAACCTTAACCATGAGTAACCAAACTAAATACGAGCCTTCTGGCATTTTTAGTTTTTTGATTGCATTCACAGATCTTTGTGGGGACCTGAAAAATGGTCCCCACCGCATCAATATAACAGGTTTTTATTACACAGTTAAAGTTTTTTCATTGTATTCACAGATTTTTAAAAATTGAGGTTATTCTTGTGGGGACCACAAAAATGTATCCACAAGCTATAAAGTTAAAGGTTTTTAATCACATTATGGGGAAATCTGGTCTCCACATAATAATAAAAAAAACACACACACACCATAGGGAGAAGAAAACCACCATTTAAAGCAAACAGACTGAAAAGAAGGGCAGATTTCAGTAACAGGTACTGGAGAGCAGGATCGTTCCGGCATGTTTAATCAGCGAATGGACGCACAGGGTGCCAGAAACTATGGACAGGAAATGGAAAGAAAGCAAGATAAGAAGGGGAAGAAAAGACACGGCGTTGACAGTGGAGACACCCAGAAGCCTCCCGGCTCACCCCACAACTTACCCGCTGGTTAGTATCATGTGATGGGAGGGGAGAGAGGTGATTGGAGAGAAGAGCACACAGTGTTAAAGGAGCACGCTCACGGTTGGCACACATGCACGCACGGCAAAACTCAAGTGCTGGTCACGGAGGGGGGGGGGGGGGGGTGCAGGGGGGGGGAGCACGGGCAGCATCGTGCATCTGTCATTCTCTCACACGAACCACCAGCAAGTTAAGCAAGAACCCGGATGTCCAAACACCTGAAGACCCTTGAACACGACATGCAGGGGAGAGGAGGCGTCACACGCAGGCGCGGCCATGGTGGTGAGCCAGAGGAAACACCGTGGAAGGATGGAGGACAGGCTTAGCACGGGATGCTGGGGGGCGAGAGTGTGTAACACAGGCCCATGGGCACGAGCACTCCAAGATGCACGCGCGCCACGATCCGGACAGGAGTCGCCACAGTCCAGCAAGACCACAAACCCCTACTCAACTTCTCACCCAGGGTAAGACCTTGTTCTATAGCTTACTTTGGTGGGGGGGGGGGAACTGCAGCTATATGTGACACAGGATGTCCAGGAGGGGTTAATATTTGGGGTAAAACTGACAACTACCTCACTGAGGAAAAAAAAACACGTTCAGTGTATCGATCATCATTGGAAATGTTCCTCTGACCTCCAGCAGGCTGCCGGCTTAAGGACGACGTACGTGACAGGTTCCCCTCCACCAGCAGCTCCACCAGAGATGACTGCATCTCTGCTGAAATCAATAGTTCAGTTTCTCTTCCCTCTCTATATTTAGCCATACGTGCCGACTTCTCCCAGGACGGCCGTGCTTATTCATTCCCCCCCGCATTGACCCCGTGGAGCAGCCGATGTTCGGCATTCGCATTCGGAGCGGCTGGAAAGCGGGAGCACGTTCACCAGCTCGCCCGTCAATGCCAGCTAGCCGATGTAAACCGACTGTGAGCACGACCTAAGCGTTGCTAAATAAGGTAAAGGCATTAACAGCCAGCTAAGTAAGGAGGTATGTTTCAATCCTGGGGCTTTACAATAAAAACAAAGGGAGGGGGATGGAGAGCAGGTTTCTGCAGATGGCTGGTTAAGGGGGCAGCCCAAATGAGTCATCGGGGGGGGGGGGGGGGTGCAGGGTCTACGCTCCACCAGGTACGCGAGTCGAAGTGCTTCTCGTTACAAGGCAAATAGACTGATGTACTATTGTGCTGTTAGTAAATCTTTATGGGAGTTAAAGGGCACCTAGTCTCTTGCAGCGAAATGAACCTAAAAAGTGTTGGGCTTCCTGTTAAACAGTCCAACGCAAACCCCAGTGACACGGGAGCAGCATTCCTCTCTAGCTCATCTATGTGTGGCGTTCTGGCTGGCTGGCAGCAGACCTCGGTCACTTACTTCTTCTTCAGCCTCCTGTCCTTCTCAGCCTGGGTGCCCAGCTTCCCTGGAGCCATTTCCTGACTGGTCAGCTCCGGATCAGATGCACCTACTGGCACGGAAAAGGAGGTTCTTCACTTACATGCTGCTGTAGTACAGGATGGATGCGTGTTTGGGATTATCACAAGCATCAGTAACAAACGTGCAAACCTTCTTTTTTCTACAGGGATTTAAGTCCACTGAATGGAGAAGATGAATGCAGGAATTTGATGAAATCCCCTGCATCCCCAGCTTAATTCCAGCATGTTTAGTCATTAATGGTGCTCTATTTCTGGAAAGATAGACTCGTCTTTGTCGGCGGAGGCGAGGAATGGAACCTGCCGGGCTCGATCACACCTTGCTCGTTACCGTATCGGTGTGAAAGCACTCGTCAGCAGTTTCTCAGTGGTTCCTCTGACACCCTTTAATTCCACATGCATGGGGGCCTGGGTCCGTGATTGGCCGTGACAGAGGAGCCACCCCTTCTAACTTAATTGCTCCCCGGGCGGTTCACGACTGGCAGCCAGTGAGAAACCCCCCCCGGACGGGCTCTCCGGACAAGGTTATCTGTCAGCTGAGATTTCCTTCGGGTTTTCTAATCAGGAAGCATGAGCATGTTGGCTTTAGGTTGGCTTGTTGCAAAAGACAGTTATGAGAACCAGCTCTCCCAGGGATGACATGACAGACAAGGCACCACCACAAGAGACATACACATAAAATGAAAAGATTACAGAAATGAGCTTCACTTTCTAGCGCTACTGGGTCTACGGCAGCTTGGAGTACGTGTACTGGGAGCCCCACCTTGGCCCGGTCCGCCCAGCTCTTTGTGCAGCTGGCCCAGTCGGGCCTTCTCTTTCTTGCCGAAGAGCCGGCCGATGGAGGACTTGATGCCCTTCTTCTTGGGCTGCTTGTGGAGGGAGTCCTGGCTGCTGGCGACACTGCTCAGGGCGCTAGCATCCACCTCCAGGGCGGCGCTCACGCTGCAAGCAGATGCCGAGGGCTTAAGCAAAGGACAAGGTGCAGGTGTTGTGCTACAAATGCGGATAGTCATCATGGACCTTATTGTGACATTATATTCAGGGTTACATTTATTTATTCAGCAGACACTTTTATCGAAAGTGATGAATAAGTGAGCCAGAAAACTCCAAGCTTGTCTGTTATCTGAGATTTTCTTCAGGTTTTTTACTTAGGGGGCATAAGCATGTTGGCAGAGTGGTGCCCCTGAGGTTAGGGGTCTGTGCCAACAAAGGGAAGGCTGCTGGTTTGAATCCCATGAATGCCAGCAGGGATCCTACTCCGTTGGGCACGGCCCTTAACCTGCATCATGGGTGTGACGTTAACCTACTTCCAGCCCAGTGGGGAGGTTCTCCAGCTTGCAGGGAAATATGGGGGTTGGTGGCAGGATTGGCACTCCAGCCACTGGAAAAAAATCTCACACTAGTTCATTTGGACTAGTGTGGTGCTGAGGTATCACCCACTGCATGGCTGCACTCAGGTTCTCATCCCTGAGGTGGTTTGTCATGTGGGGGGTGCAGCAATACACTATAATCATCGCAACCCCCCTTTACCATTGATTTACAGTCAAGTACCAGTACCAAAAGTACCAAACTTTTTTGGTACTTCGGGGTGGGACTTGCAAACGTGCTTACTGTCTACTGGTTTTGCAAATAAACTCAGAAAACAAGAATAAAGGAAGTTAAAAAAAGTTATAATATTGGATGCATAGACAAATGAAGAAACCAAAGCTTTAACTGTGATCTGGTCAGAATAACAGATTCAGCAAGATGCAGATGGCATGACAATAAATAAGAAAAGTATCTGCTATAACAAAATTTTCAAACAGCGTGATGCGATTTTGTTGCAATAAATATCGGGATTTATAAACCAAAAAAGGTGTTCAAAAATTTCTCACAAAGCCATCTAGGAACAAACAGCAAAAATGCAAAAGCAGAGCTCATGCAAAAGCAGTGGCTGTACACTTTAAACTTTTTTTTTTAACATATACTAGACAATCTTGAAAAAGAACAATCATTAAAATTGCAAAGTTTTGTTTCCTGTGACAGAGTAAAAATGTTTTAGCGGTAGAAAAGGTACCTAAGGTGAGGTTCTCCTGGGGAATTATGAATGACGTCGTCAAACGCTGCAGATAAAGCTAACACCTGATTCTAGCTGGGGGCCCCCCAGGACTCACCCACGCGTATCATTATGACTGGAGGAGGGCAGCGTGTGGGTCATTCGCACTTGGCGGGGCGTGGGAGGTGGCGACGTTTCGCACTTGATGGTGGCCTTGTCTTCCCGACCATCCTCATCCACTGCCGCTATCTGAGGGGGAAGAAGTGGCCGAGAGCAGAGCATTCTGGGAGTGTAGGAACACCGCAACATGGACACGACTGGTCTGAGCCCAAACATCCATAATAAAAGCCATACTGGCAGCAGTGGTACGGGTTTACATTTGAGGCTTATGATAAAAATATATTTACATGATAACCATCAGAATATATATTAGCAAATATTTCATCGAAAAATCTTTTCAACCATTTCAAAATGTAAACAACTTGTTTTAAATAAATATATTCAAGGGCATTGCTTGAGGTTGTGAGTCACATTACAAGTAGGAATACCTTTCTCCTGTGTTTTCTTAAATCACTGGGCTTCATGACAGAAGAGGTTGGAGAGAAACCACAGAGAAAGAAAAAAATGACAATAAATATCAGTATAAACAAAGATTTAGTATAACAAAATTAAATTGTTATTCTTAAAAATGAACATGCCTTATGGGTCTATCAGCAAATTCCATTTCCACATTCTCTGGACAAGTTTGCGAAGCACATAGGATTTCACAACTTCTAAATTAAATTCCCTACTGTGACGCACATAATCAATGTTAATTAATTCCAAAAGTTCTCCTCTGCAAAAAAAACTCTCTAAATTAAGAGTATAAAATGCTCAGCTCCCTTCAGTCGCAGCTCCCTAAGGAGCGGATGGTAATTTTAGCACAAAGGCATTAAAGAGAAGCTCCAGGACAGCGGCTTCCGGGGTGTTAAATCTGCAGGCTACTGGGGGCTAATGCCAGAAAGCAGAAAGCAGAGCATGCAGTGTTGAGGAAGTTACTCTCGAAAGTAACCCATTACAGACAAAGGTGCAAAGTTCAGGTCCAGAAAGTACAAATCCTGGTCAAGGTTTTGTTTCAACCAATCAGTTAAGTACTCTGTGACTCTTTACACCAGGGGTCTCCAACTCCGGTCCTGGAGAGCTACTATCCAGTAGGTTTTCTGTCCCACTTGGCTTCTGATGAGCCACACCTGGCCCTGGTATTTACCTGAGAACAGGTGTGGCTCATCAGAAGCCGGGTAGGATAGAAAACCTACTGGATAGTAGCTCTCCAGGACCGGAGTTGGAGACCCCTGCTTTACACTAAACTGGTTGGTTGAAACAAAGCCTTGGTCTGGATTTGTACTTTCTGGACCTGAACTTTCCACCCTTGTCTGTACAGTAATAGATTACTTTGGTGAGTAACTTCCCCAACACTGATCTACATCAGCTTGGTGTCCAGAGCCATTTGCTGCTACAGAAGCAGCCAAACACCACTCTCTGAAAGACCTTATTTTCCTAACACATTGCCCTTAACAAGCATGAAGACATGAAATATGTGCTTTTGCATTGAGCTTCATCAAACAACAGTCAAATAACCTTTACAAATTGACTTTACTATCATGAGTATTTTTCCTGTATATTACATAATGCTTTTACACTGAGGATCACATTAATTTATGTAGCTGCTCGCTACACGAATGGCTACCTTGTCAACGAATGTGTTTAAGATGCTTAATTGCTCAGGAAAATCATGATTCATTTGAAGGTCCATCTCTGACAAGGAGCCACACAAACGCCGCCGTGACTAGAATGCCTGTGTCATCAAGTGATCAATACAGACCTGTAATCTTGAACAACAGTGCACACAAGGTGGCAACTAACTGAGCTGCATGCAGCTGGCCCACCATTATCTACTATATTTACAGAGTGGTGAAGGTCAACAGTGACAACAAGCACAACTCAATGGATACAAAGGAGGTGAGAGGGACAGACAAACCACACCTCAGAACTTCCTGTGCTCTTGGTTCCATTGAAGTGAAAGGCTGAGTCCTGACTGAGATTATCACACGGGGATGACAAACACTCCAATCATAAAATGCCCCTCAGAGAGTACCATTTTCACACTGCATGTCAGCTGATATGTTATGTTTAACCTTCAGCCATATTTTCCATTCCCAGGATTCCTGGTCTCCAGAGAAGTGCCATTTCAAGTGATCTGAATGGTTTTTCAAACAGGTCATGTAGAATTCCAGTGCAAGTACATGGTTCATACAGAACTCCAGTGCAAGAATAGGTAAATGATTTTAGGAGCATGAGGCATGACTTGCATGTATTCAAATGATCTTGAGGAGGCGTGAGGAGCCAGCATACCAATGTCATGACACCCATGCGTTCCATGTCCCGGGCAGGGCTGCGGGGGGTCTGTTTGGGGGAGGAGTGTCCACTGGGGGGGGAAGAGCTGGCCAGCGAGGAGGCGGTGGCTGAGGCGGTGATGGAGGCTCCGGAGTGGTGCACTCGGGCCAGGTTGAGGCCCTCCAGGCTCACACTGGCCACACGATTCTCGATCTCCTCTGCTCTCAGCTCTGTCGACTCCTTCTCCTCCTGGATCAGCCTGGGGGAGATGGAGGAAGGGGTGGAGCAACAGGGTGGGGAAGACAACAGGGAAGAGATTACATGTGTGATGCATGTAACCTGACAGCAGTGATTCGATATGAGCTTCAGTGAAAGGACACAGGAAAGGACAGCTGTCAGACCCTGAAGCTTTGATTTAGAATTAACTAGATGCTGTTGGAAAGACAACACCATATTCCCAGGACTGCCCCATCACCTCCTCCCCCATCTAGTCTTTACTGCTCTACTCTCTACTCCTCACAACTTCTAACCATCCTACACACTCTCCCCACCTCTCCAAAAAACTTTATTAACAGCCAGACTTTGTGTGACTTGTCTCAATGTAATCAAGATTAACAGATCTGCGTCTGTGGCTGCCCATTCATATGCCACCACTAAGTGACACTGCTTCAGTGTTGGTGTGATTTGTCCTCAAATGAAGTAGGTCCCAGATCATCATGTTCCTAGGAAGACTGAAAAAATCCATGACATACTTTTCGGGTTACTGTGTTCACAAGATCTAGTGTCTTCTGCAGTTGCCCAATCCGTTCTGCATTCCCATCCAGGGAATATAATAAAAACAATATAATCACCTAGCAGGGAAGCATACTGAAAGTCAAATAGTTAATCTTTTTTGTATCTGTCACTGCGGATTGATCCCGCTGTTCTGAAATTTCCCTTTGACTATCTGATTTGCATGGGATCCTGACAGGGGGTCTTTGATATGGGCGACACACCGGCATTTGATTTAGTTTTTGTTTTTAGTAAGCAGGGAGCTCAACGGCATGAAGGCTTGTTTATTACCAATAACTACACAAGGTGCCTCACTTTCTAATGAGCTAAGAATGACATTTCTTTGGGTTCTGCATTGGTTTTCTGGGTCAAAATATCCTACCTAGTGCAATGGGTCACCGTTTTATTATTATTATTTTTTTAATTTTATGTTATTGGCATTCTCAGAATTGCACATATGCTCCCTGCATGAAAAACAGAAAATTCAAACTGTGCGTGAAAAACCAGCAGAGTCTATCAGTGTTTCGGGCTTGGTGCTTTACTATAGCGTCTCTATATTTCCCGCATTTTACATTCATCCCAAAGAACATTACACTGTACATGTGAGTAGCAGTATTTACATGCATTATTATTATTATTATTATTATTATTATGAACAAAACTGTCATCAACAGTTCTGCACTTTGAAAAACCGTACTGAAATGACAAGTGGTTCTAGGGAGCGAACTACAAGCATTTCATGTGAAAATGGAAACACAGGTTAGCCATGCCTTCACGCAGCATTAACATAATAATAAAAAAAAACTGTTTAAACAGACACCTTTAAAATTAACAACTCATCTGAAATAACATTCTGGCTATGAAACACATTGATAGATCCTAGCTGTGTTTTTTTTTAAGGAATTTTAAAAGCATCTATCAATATTGATATAGTATAATTATTCTGTAGATAAATGGGATCTATCAATGACATTGCGACGCCAGGGAGCCCCGCCCAGCACTCTGCTCTCACCCAACAATGGCAGAGCCAGTGTTTGTCAGTGCGAGCTGGGTGTTAATTTCGAATGCTGCTGTTAACGTTGTAATGAACGTGAAAATTAAAAATATGGCATGTGTTTGTGTATTAAGGTGTAAATAAAGAAAGTGCCATAATCAGTGCATTATAAGGGGTTCCTGATGGCTGTAGATGCAAATTCCGTATAGTATGCTTTAGTGCTAAGAACTGCAGTAAAGAGGCAGATCTGCTAATCCTGCTACCGTCAGATGACCTCAGGAGTGACTGTAATCTGGAAGACGCTGTGGAAGTGACAGCTGGTAACAGCCTTCAGTCTCGCCAGTGTCCTCCTGTCACTCAGACTGCTGAACAAGCTGCTACTAGTTAATCAGTATATACTGTAACTAAGTCAGAAACCGAGAGCCAAGGTGAAGGACCTAACGATCTGGTACTAGCAAGAGCGAACCGTGATTCAAGAAGCATTGTGCCCTTGCAAGTCATCCCGACGCATCTGCATTCAGTTTTAATTTGCATATTAAATGGCCACAGGAGTTCGTCCGGGAAAAAGCGGAGCAGCTAATGAATTTTTATTTCGCCACAGTAAACCTGGAGTTATCAGCGGCGTTTTGGCTCAACGGCCGGATGGACCTGCTGTTCTTAATATGGCGATAAAACGGCAATTTACAACAAACGGCGGCGTAAACGTTCAAGCGGGCGTCGGTTTCGGAAAAGCAGACGTCGTAATGGCTTGCTAAATGCGCCATGTCCTTGTCAGAAAAAAACGGGATTTAAGACCTTAAATGTCGGCTCCTTGGGTGTTTCTAATAGCGTGGAACTTGGTGATAAATCTTTCATGATAACAGCCAGCAGATGTATCTGCAATGTTGACATTAGCTTTGAGTCAGGATCTGCCCCAGCGGACACTGACCGGATCTCCTTGTTGATGGCATCCAACTGTTCCTGCAGCATCATGGCCAGTGTCTGGGCATCCGAGTGGCCTCCAGGGGACAGGAGATCCATGGAGCTGAAGATGGTGTCATGGTCGTCGTCATCGATGTCTGATATCTCCGTGTCGCTCTCAAAGTGATGGGTCCCTAGGACCCCCAGCTGTTGGGTTCGCCATTCATGCTCCCCAAGGGACTTAGCCTGGGGGAAGAGAGGAGGGGCTTGTGTGTACTGCACTGATTGACAGCATGATCCACCAATCGTGCTCTCCCACCAATCTTAATGTGGCCGCATGAAAGAAATACTACGCAGAGCTATTTTAGACTTTCTAAAATTATCCACATCAATATACCTGAATATTTAAATTCCTCAGTCACTCCGAGACCCATCAAAAGAAACATGCATACTGGGCACGTTTTTTAAACATCTTTTATTTGCTGATAACTTCTCAGTGTTCAAGGGGGCCCTAGTGAGTGCGGTTAATTAAAAGCTAATACTAAAGTCAGCAATGAGCTGCACTAATACACAGCAGAAGCTCATTTGACACTGGTTTGAATGCTAATATGGAACAGGATCTCCTTTAACCATCCTGCCAATTAATCTTTCCCTTTAAAAATGCTAGCAGAGGGGCAGCGATTTGGCCTGTGTTATTAAATGTAGCTGACATTGTGTGTTTAATATGGTGATTACTCACATCCACTTTGCAGTGATAACAGAGTGGAAATACATTAAGCGCTTTAATTTTTTTTTTTTAAAGATTACCTGACATTCACTAAATACAAAAAAATCTGCCATGAGCTATAAAATTATTTGTAGCTTGCAGGAACAGAATGCGCATAGACTATTATCTACATTATAACAGTATTACCGTTTATGCTGTATCGATGCTTTCTACTGCCCCCTATCCGGCATAGCAGGTATTGCATTCTAACCCCATTCAACTCCATCCTCCCCCGGCTAATCAGAGACGTGTACCCTATGCTCCTCGCGCCGGAGGCCCACCCTGCCTCTCCTAGGCCTTCGGATCACCTTTGTCGACCTGTAATGGTCTGACTGGGTGTCCGCCAGGGAGCCCAGGGAGAACCGGAGCTCTGTGGAGGCGTCCAGGTGAGACCTGCGGAGAGAAACCAGATTTAAGCACTTCGTCGTTATTGTGTGACACAACGAAATTACAACCCCAAAGGTGCATTAATAAATACAAATTGAATGCAAAAAAAATGTTTAAAATGGCCCTTCCATAGACAATGTTGTTCTTAAAAAAAAACAAAAAAACAAAGAAAGGAGAAGCACCGCATGGGCATGAAGAAGGACTGCCGAGGATTCAGTGAAGGTTTAGGGTTAGGGCCGGCAGGTACAACTGCAAGCGTGCCCAGCTTTACCACACATCACATATTACACAACATATTAAACATATAGTAATACCATGATATCGCCAGTAGAGCATTGGGCTAAGAAACGTAAAGGTTGTGGGTTCAAATCCTGGGGAGCACATATAAACTGTAACCTTTCCCTCTGCTGCAGGCTGCTTTGAATACAAGTGTCAGAAAAAAAAGAGCAAATAAAACAACACAATAAAAACTGTACAAATTCGATAAATGATATCTGAAAGCAGTTTTGTAGGAGGCCAAGCATATTAAAATGCGCATGAATACTGTATACAGTCGCTCACCTACATCTGACAGAGCTCTCACTGGGTACATGATCCGTAGTCGATCCTGACTTACGTTAACTGGGTAATTAGTGATGACACCTGCTCACCGCTCTCATTACAGCTTACATAAGCATCCAAGTTTACAGACAGCTGGAGTCTCTCAAAAGGCCAACGGCACCAGTGCCACATCACCCATCCCATCTAACATATCTCACCGTCACACTGGAACTTACTAATAGACAGCAATTATGAATTTAACTGATCTACATTTAATTCAGTGCTGGCCAAAACATGGATGGATAGCTAGTACTGACAACAAGCCAAGCCAATAATAGGTTATTTCACAGATGGTTGATATCACAGTATGAATATGTGCTTCCTGTTAATGGTACAAAGTCAGACCTCACAATACTGAGCTTCTACGACGATTTCGCTGCAGCCTTTAGATATTTAAATATTTGAATGACTTGCCCTGTCTCTGTAACCTGATTAAAATCAATAACTCCATCTTACGCGCACATTTTCAGCGGGTTGTAGAGACTCCCTTTTGTCTTGCCTCCATTCTAAGGGGGAAACGAAATCATTACCGAAAGCAGCTCCAAACCCATGGGTTCTGGCTGCAGGTTGCCATACCGTGACAGGGTCGGTTCCGTGAGCGATCCGGCCCTTATTCTGAACTGACCCAGTTCCGATCTCAGCTTCTCCATCTCCTCCGCAAGCTGAGACTATAGCAAATAAACCAAACAAAGGCTTGGATTCACACCTCAACCTCATTTTCATATTTTCAGGTACTTTTGCAGCTATAAATTACTTTAACAACACATGGTCAAAAATTAGCACGTCATTAACTCAGTGCAGCCATCAGCTACATTATGTGTTTGATGCTTTTATCAAGATGCCTCAGAAACCTACTTTTTCATGGAGGGAATCTTCCAGCTGTTTTCTGTAGTTTTCCGAATCCTGTATTAAAACATTCTGAAATGGAAACATAAAAAGTGTTTTTTTCACTAAATACCTGATATGTAATACTGTTCACAAATGTTTGACTGCGAACAGAAAATTATGCTTAAAGGATGTTGATGCAAAAGTATGGTACGTCTGTCGGACTGTTAGCTTAGCCATTTCAAAACTGCTCATAAACTCGCCGCAGCATTTGTTGACTTGACCATTAGCATAGCATGTCTGGCTAATCAATACCTCATCAAATGATTTAAATAAGTTACTTAAGTGAGCTGGTGGTGAAATGGCTGATTTGGGAACTAAGGAGTTGTTCTTCTAGCCATCCAACATGTATCAGTAAATTTCTGAAGGTCACGTTGTTATCATTTATTAATGTTCAACTACAGATGACTTAATATATATTTACTCCCCATACAAGCAGCTTTGATTGCCTTTTGTATTGTACTCTAAATACAATAAATTTAATGCAGCAAGAATAGTGACGTAACACGATTTTGAGTGGTGAGGGTGATTCTGGGAGCAGGAGTGACACGTGTGGTCATGTGACGTGAGAAACGCTTGTGAGGTCACATCCCATCACCTTCTCCTCTAAGGCCGCCATTCTCTCCTTGAGGTGGAGCTGGAGTCGCTCGTTGGATTCCGTCAGCAGCCGATCCACGGTGTCCGACAGGCGCTTGTTGTGCTCCTCGTTCATCTTCTCCCTCTGGCGAGCCTGCAGCCGTCCAGCGGGACCACGGGGCAGAATTTCACGCATGAAGGCACGTGACGGGTGCAAATCGGGACTAGCCTATTGGCTGATGGGGGCGGGGTCCTCTCGGAGTGACTCACTCTCTGCAGCTCCTGGTTCTTCTCCTCCAGTTGGCACTCCAGGTGCCGCATGCTCTCCTCGATGCTCCCGTGACGCTCCTCTGCCTGTCAAGCACAGGAATGACAGGGGAGAGGCGGGGTGGGGCGGGGCAGGGAGGGATGGGCCAGTCCATTTAGCGAGTGCGGGGGTGATGTGTGTATAGCCATCTATGAGACAGGTAAGCCAAGCCTCTACTTTATGCTGCGCTAAAGCTAATTACAAACTAAGCAGAAAAGGAAAGCAGCCCACTCATGACAGAGAGAGAGAGAGAGAGAGAGAGAGAGAGAAACACTATGGCTGAACCTATGAGCAGGGATAACCAGCCACTTGAGACATGCAATGTCCCCACAGCTCCAACATAGGCCTGCCGTCCTCCAACACAGAAAGGAGAAGAGCGCCCCGTTAAGCCAGAACCGCGCAATGGTCAGCTACAACGGAATAAAAAGGAAAGATGATGAATTCTAATGAGCGAGAGAGAGCGAGAGAGCAAGAGAGCAAAGACCTGCGGAACTACCTTCCTAAGTATGGAGTTCATGTCTTGCAGTTTAGCTTCCATTACATATTGATAATCATCGGGGGAGGTAGAGGAGCTTGGGGCGGACTAACCGGCCGAAAGAAAAGGAGAGGGACAAATCAAACAGTCAGTCCTCCGGGTAGATTAACAGCGTCACAGCACAGGATAACAGCAGAGGGTTCAGGCACGGGCAGTATCAAACGGAGCCAGTTCCCGAAGAAACACTCAAAGCCTATCGAACGTACGCTAAAATGTCATGTTCAATTAGCTGGAAGGATAGTGCAAATAAGTCAGCAAATGAAAGTTTAGGAGAGAAAAGACAACGGCCTGTTCAACATTCCAGTGAGCAACATTCTACACAAGTCCAGAAAGTCGCATAATACTTTTTATTTTTATTAAGTGCCAACAGGCATTTAGTAGACAGCTATTAATTTATATCTTGACAGATGCTGTTGTACCTTAATGCCATTACATTTAGCAGATTCTCTGGCCACGACTAATGAATTGAATTTGCATGGATACAGTCAGTAATCTAGTTGTCTGAAATCCCCTGGCAGACATTTAGAATATCCTGGTACGAACCCACCCTGCCTTCCTTGAGTGTTACAGCACACGGCTGTTAAAAACGTATTTACTGGCCAAGAAAACACTGCAGGCATGAGCCTCTGGTCTTCTGCATCCCATAAGAACACAAATGGAAAGAAAAAACCACGGTAACTGCACTTTCACTTTAAACTCAGCCCACCAAGCCATGCTCAGAGACGAGTAAATCACCACATATAAAAAAAAAAAAAAACTGGATTGCCACAAGGGAATGATTAAAATGTTAAAACGACTTAGTGATTTAGCTTGACTAAGGGGGATGATACGGTAAAATTTCACACTAGTGAGGGTATTAGTAAGGTTGGTTTGGAACTAAAAGCAGGTTTAAGAAGCAGATGGGGTATCAGTTGGCCTGTTCATTTATTTGTGGTGACGTTCCACCACAGAACCAACACATCAGTAATATGGTGGAACAAAAATTTAAGCCGGGCAATTTGGTTCCCGCTCCGGAGGGCCGTATTAAAACAGCCGGACTGATTACACCACAAAATGCCCAGAGGGAGTCTTATTGGCTGAGCTAAAGACGATTCAGGGAGCCGGGCAGGTGGAGTCGTAGGCTGTTAGACTGCAGCCCTACAGAGACAGAAAGCAAACAGGCATCTTCTGTGGGGCAGAGACACCTCCAGCATTTCGGACGGCCCCTGAAGGGCCGATGGGGCCCACCGGCGGGGCCCACCTTGGTGAGGGCCGCTATCCTCTGGGCCAGCTCGGCCTCCACCTCGGGCAGCGTCTCCGCCTTCCTCATGGTCTGCTGCAGCTTCTGCTCAGCCAGCTCCAGCCTCTCCTGCAGCTGCCGGTTCTTCTCCTCCATCTGCAGGGATGGGGGCGGGGGGCACAGGGACCCAGAATCAGCTTGGGGGGGTTGGCGTCCTATAAAGACTCTCAGTATAACTGTATAGCTTCGCTTACTGCCAGCACTGGCATGAGCGTAATGAACAGAAGAATGAGCCAGTCTCCTTTATGTCCCAGTTTCCCTTACAGTGATAAACCCTTTCCACTTTCTGATGTTACTGGAGTTGATACTATAGGTCTTACAGATTAATGATTTTTACAGCTTGCCTGCCCTCTTGAAATAGCTGCCCCATTTAATTCAAAGGGAAAGTTTCACTAACATTTTGCAGTGCAGGATTATGCATTGTTTGTTTGGCACTTAAGCCTCTGATGCAATTCTCCAGGTGGGAGACTGGCCACTGATTTATGCAACTGAATAATTGTCACCCTGATGTTTATCAGTGGTGACAGTCACTCAGCCCGCACCAATCTCTCACACAAACACACAGTATACTTGAGGTAATTAAGAAGCCTCAATTAAACCCTTTCTGGTGCCGATTCTTCCAAGGCCAGACCTCAGATAATTGGTATCCTGGCTAAATTGTACAATTTATCCACAATGTAAAAAAAAATAACAAATAAGTGTCCAGTCAGACGTCTGTAGACATACTGGTAAGAGGACCCCAGGTGACATGCAGGGGCTAGAATTGTGAACTGAGTTCGTGCAAATTGGTCTGCATTTCTCGTTTGCGCCGCCTTGCAACAGAAGCTGAGGTGAATGTCATGAAGGAACATCAGGATCAAAACATTCCTACACATACTAGGTTCCATGCTCTTGAGTTCCAGCTGGCTACTTTCTATACAGATGTAACCAAACCCCAGGACTCTCACCTCACGGCATCTGAATGCATTGTCTTTTTGTAAGTTGTACGGTGTTCCCCTTGCAGCCTGCCTGTCGTTAACTAGGGCAGACCTGCCACCCAGCCCTGTGCATTGGCTGGAGTACAATACAATCAGGGAGAAGCACGTTTCCCCACATATTTCCCATTCCAGGGTGACCCAGCCTCTCTTCATGGTCTGACTGCTTAAAGCACAGCAGGCCATACAGGGATCACCTCTTACCCCCGTAGAAGTGGTAACCAATCAACATTGCCACACACGTCACATGCTCTGGCTGTGCTGTGATGTCACCATACTTCTCGTCCCACACGGCTCCTGTCGAAAGGGCCGTGGCTGAATGAGAACCAGTTACATCAAACTGAGGTGATGTGACATCATTGGGGCGAAACCTTCTTGATGTTTGCCAGTCACCCGATAGGCGAGCAGAATTCAGGTGCACCCCCCTCTGCTATTTTAACCAGGGCAGTAAGTTACGTTTTTCAAACTGCAGGCTGTCTGCAGTGTGAATAAAGAAAGGCTGGATTTGCGAGGACATAGAGATTGGGCTTCCTGTTTCCAGGAGGTGAGAACCACATGGGTGTGATGTATGGAAGTGTTTCCCAACCAGCTCCTCAGGGGCATGCAGACAGTCTGTGTGCTTGAGGGAGCAAAAATGTGAACTGTTTGGCAGGGAGCTGGGAGGGAGCAAAAATGTGGACTGTTTGGCAGGGAGCTGGGAGGGAGCAAAAATGTGGACTGTCTGATGAGGACCGGATTGGGAAACACGGGACATGCTGTTCCCAGGTTCCCGAGACCTGTCTGAGGATGGCCTCCTTGTTAGCCAGCTCGTTCTCCAGCTTGTCGCTGATGTCGTGCAGGGAGGTGGACTCTCTCTGGGCACTCAGGTAGCGTTTCTCCAGGGTCACAATGCGCTCCTCCATGTCTTCCTTCTGACACATGGCCTGGCACATACACACACACACACACACACACACACACACACACACACACACACACACACACACACAATCACATCCAGAAACAAAAACAAACAGCTCAATCAGTAAAAAAAACTGACCTAGTGTTGGCCACCACATTGCCATACACCGAATGTAATGGCTTTGCGTGGGTCTTCCCCACTTAATTCAGTGTTACAATGAGCTATATTTTCAGAACGACAACAGAACTCTGCAGCTTCTGAAGGCGAGATGCATCAGCAACTTTAATTACTGAGCTGTGGAAAAAAACAACAGAGATGAGCAGAGTAACTGGCGAGCTGGAACCGACATAATCGCTGCTGATCAATAGCTATTTAAACACGGGGACGAGGTCGGACACGGGCGGCTGCAAAGGCTTCTGTGTTTCACGGACGCTACTACAAATTGGACTGGCATTAACTGTCAGTATGCCTAACAGGCCAGATAGCGCATCCACACAATCTCAGAGCTTCACAGGAACATGTTCCCTAGTTGAGGATCATGGTTAAATCTGCCATGATCAACAGCATTCACTGCTTACTTCAGGACCCAGACAGCACATCAGCTTCAATCACACACAAATACCTTCAATTTTCCCTGCTAGGGTGCAACACAAACCCATCATTATGCATGTCTGTGAGTAGGTACCAGCAGGTAAAAATGGAAAATTGCCCCAGGTTAGATTTAATAATTCAGAATGTTTTATTTTCACAACAAAAACATTTCAAGTCAATATATTTAACGGTTTTTGAGATATGGCTATTGGGATACACCCTGACCTGACGAGTGCGGACGTCACTTTCATTTCCATGGTAAGGTTCTGCTCTTGATTGTAGGATTTTGTTTTGAACCTCCTGAAAAAGCCTTTTCAAGGTTTATTTTGGTACCTAGTTTAGTGGGGCTTCTATGAGAAAACTGAGGGTGGAATTGACTAATATTTCTGGTCAAATTGCTGAAAAGCCATTGCATTTCAATGGATCATTTCAGTGCAGTTTTTGAAATAATTAAATATCCTTTATTGTCATTAAATAATATTTAGATGGCACATTTCTGGATGGAGAAATGATGAAGCATTTAGGGCCAGTTTGTACATTTGTACATTTTTCTCCTGTCAATGCGCCGACCTTCCAGCACCTTCAATAAGGCTGAACCCATCCCCCCCCACCCCCGGCGCCCACCTCTTTGATGTCCCTCTGGTACTTGCTGTTCATCTCCTCGGACTTGATGAGGTCCTTGCGGGCTGTCTCCAGCTCCTGCTCCACCTCCGAAACGCGAGACGACAGCGAGGACATGCGCTCCTTCATCTGGGCCAGTTCAAAGTTCTGCTTCTCCAGCAGCTCCTGCAGCTCCACCACCTGGCTGGCCTCGTCGACTGACTCCAGGGAGCCGTTGGAGAGGCGCTGTGGGGGTAGGGGGACACAGAAACCCGGTCACTGAGCCTGACACAGAGCGGTGGTGTTCAATCATCTGGGAGCACATTCGAGGAACCTTCACTAACCTGTAACCCTACAGTTTATCTGAGCAAAAGGCTTTGAAAACTTCAAAAGATGTCCCCAAAAGTAGGGAAATTTCAGGTTTTACTACACTTTGGGGACAATTTGGTCCCCAAATGTGATCTATGCAACACCCCCTCACACACACACACATACACACACTGGTGTAGCTATCTAAATGGGGACCTTCCATTCATTTCCATGGAAAAAACCCTAATCCCAATCACAACACCGGTAGGCCCTAAGCAGCCTCTTAGTTCGCTTATGACTGACCTTGGGCAAGGTGCCTCGTTACTCTCACTGACATGTAACCGTGCCCTTCAGGATGCATATTTCAATGGAGAGGCAAGGTCTCACCTCAGTCGCAGAATACATCAGGTGAGAATAATGCCAGAGTGACAGGAAGTGCCACAGACCACCTCGGCAGTGAGCGATTGGCTCGACATGGCAGCTAATGACGTGGCTCTGCTGAGGCGACTACGGGCTTCTGCTCACCTGGGCTTCCCGTGCACAGTGCATGTGGGATTTACAGCTGTGGGCCTGGGATTGCACTTCACAAATATAGTCGTGCCCATCTGACAGCTTCTGGCAGACAGATAATGGGCACAAGGCCAAAGCGTAGAAAAACGCATAACTAGAATTCACAGAGCGGCAATACTCCTCTTAAACACAGAATATTAGTCTGGTGAAAAGCAATAAGCAGACATGTTTATAAGTGTGAGTCAAATATTCAGGGGTCTGGATGGATGCTTAGAAAGAGACAGGCCTCCTTCCCCCAAAATTAAGTGAAAATTGTGTATAAACACTCACTTATCAAACTCAGATTTGATTCTGACAGCCAACCTCCATAACATGAAGAGATGCAGAACCCTGAAGTTTAATTGACTATGAGCACACATAGTAGATGAGTTTTAATAAGTGTTTAAAAAGAATTTTGCGTGTCCTACTCCAATACTATGTGAAAGGCATCACAGGTAAGGTGTGGTAGTGTGCGAACCACATGACCACAAGTCCGTATTTATGCCTGTTTTGTGTGATCGACCGGCATAAACGGTAACGCACACAAGCCATGCTGGTTTCAATCTCAAGCTTTGATGTTTCAGGTATGATAGGCAGCACTCTGAAACCGTGCCAATGTGGTCGGCGAAGTACACAAGACCGCGTGGATCAGGGCCAGCTGCCCGTCCGCAATCATCCATCTGCAGTGATGAATCTAATTAGCCCTCTCTGTACTGCCTCTGATCAATGATTCATCGAGCTCAGGAACAGGACGTGCTAAATTGGGCTACACACAATTCACTCAGACTTTAATACACTCAGGCCGATAATAGACTTTTTTTTTTTAAAAGGTGAACTTCTCCATTAATTTGTAATGTATCGCTACAATCTAGGTAGATTTTCTTCAAAACTGGCTTAAAATGATCGCCCACATCTGCACAGAGCATGAAGGACACTCCTGAAGTACAGGAGTGACAACATATCCATCTTACCATGGTTATATGTTACTTGATTCTGCATGTTGAACAGAAACGCAAGGCAGAACGTGACTGGATGATGGCTTTTATTACCTCAGCCAATAGCAGCTAAAGTTTCGAGTGCCACTGCAATGATATGAGGGAGAGATGTGTCTTTTTTAGTAGGTACAGAAAATGGTAAAGCACAGGAATTCCCAGGGTTACTGCTGGTTTACTCTTGTCAGGTCACTCTCTACCTTCTGAGAAACCATCCAGCAATTCCAGGAGCTGGTTGACTGTACAGCCCTCAAAGACAGAGTTTGGGTATCTTTACAGCAGCCATCTAGTGATAACATTTGTGACATACTCCTGTCCAAATAAGCTGGCTCATGACAGTGGAGAGCTGCTGGTCTAGGCACCCAGTGTACCCCTGTCCCACGAAGTAGCCTGCTGAGTATAACCATCCTGCAAAAATGTACAACCAAACAGTCTGCTAGCCAGACAGGAGATGAATAGCACCCTCCTAATGCAGAGATTCTGTGCACCATATGAAAAGATACCAACTCTGGTAACACTTTTCTTAAAGCAGTCATTATAATGCATTATAGATACCTTCATACTGCATTATAATTATAATTTAGTGATCAGTGGTCCTTGTTGACACACCACAGCACACAGTGCACAACAACGAAATGTGTCCTCTGCATTTAACCCATATGTGTCAATGTGACATAGCAGGGGGCAGCTAATTCAGCGCCCGGGGAGCAGTGCTCGGGGGCGGTACCTTGCTCAGGGTACCTCAGTGGTGCCTTGCTGGTCGGGGATTCGAACCTGCAATCTTTCAATTACAAGTGCGATTATATACACAGATATAACTATTCAGATGTATTTATATATACCTATATATATAAATATACACACACACACACTCACACACACACCCTGTGTTATGGGCTGCCTGACAGTGCTCCGAATGACGGCGAGCCCCTGTGTTACGGGCTGCCTGACAGTGTTCTGAATGACGGCGAACCCCTGTGTTACGGGCTGCCTGACAGTGCTTTGAATGACAGCGAGTCTCTGTGTTATGGGCTGCCTGACAGTGCTCTAAATGACGGCGAACCCCCACCTTGCCATGGACCTTAAGACTGGTGTCCGTGCCATCCAACAGGTCGTCTGCTCCTTCCCCTGAAGCTACCTTCCTCTGGATATGGGCATTCTGCTCCCTCAAGGCTACAATCTAGGGGATATATGATGGCAGTCAACAATGGTTCACAATCCGTGACAATTTTTTTTTTAAATGATCAGGAAAAATAGCGTACTTTTGAGCAAGCATTCTGACTTCAATATAAGAAATAGCTTATGGTCTCCTCGAAAAATGACTCAGCAGTGTATCAACAAATCCCCACATGCATAATAACGTTCCAGCCTTTGTTCAGTTTTTGGAACTATGGCCCCCAGGTTCTTCTTAATTGTGAGTTTTGCTGTACTTTCACTGTAAACTTTGCACACTGTGCTAACTGTCGTACATCATCATTATTGTAATTAATAGAATATAGATATCCAGCCATCCTCGCATAATAATTCGGTCGACCTCATCCCTTTGAACAGCAGGAAAATGAAGCAAACAGGTCATGTTTGGGTGCACTGCAGACGACAACGGTCAGCACAAATCTGCAGAAACAGCTTTCAGCAGTGGCAGTGATCCCAAAGCACAGATCTTATAAATCTCCCCATGCACTTCTAAATATTTTCTTTTGCCATACCCTCGTACATTCCTTTTAAGAGAATCCTTAATGTGGCATGTAGAGACATTATGATAAACCACACAGGGGTAGTTGATGTCCTGTAGTCCTGGTTTGGTTGGATGAGTCATAATTATCCATCAGAGCTGAAAGGTTACCGTGCGAATCCAGCTTGTCGCCGACTGTCCACTGAGGTAAACATGTGCCTTTAAGTTATTTTATTCAGTTATTTGATCCTCACACTAAAGATTCAAAACCAAACCTTCAAAGCCAAATCAACTCAACAACCCTGAAATGGTATGTTTACTTTGATTACCTAGAAAACAATTTCACTGCTCATTCTCAATACAGACATTTTGTCAACCAGAGAATAAAGCAGGCATGCATAATGTAAGGTTTTCACTCTTCCAATCTCTCATGCATAGTTACAAAGACAAGAAAGTAAGAAAATAGTGAAGAATAACAGTATAAGTTGTTCCTGTTGGTGTCTTTGTCGAAATCAACACCAAAAACCCTTCCTTCATAGTACAGAATGCTTCCTGCTTTCTGACCACTGGCTAGACTCTCACCATTGTTGAGGGTAGTTTAATTTTGTATACTCTGCCCTCTCAATAATTGAAACACCTGGCGCTACATTGTTTCGCAATGAATGAATGCTGGTGGAAAACCCCTCATAATAAAATCCGCAATTCTCAATACTCCTCTTAATTTCCATAGCCAGGATTATTATTCATTACAGCACGTTTATAATTGCTGGGTGCATTGTGTGTGCCAGCCTTAGAATGAGCTGAATTCATATTGCAATAAATAAAACATCCTGGATTCTAATGAAGTAATATAACAATCACAGACAAACCCACAAAGGCCTTTGCTCCATTCCCTGCTGTGGACACCGTTTAACAGTAAGAGGCTAAGCGTTGATCTCCATCCAGAATCAATCAGTGCTCCAAACAAGTCACCACTGTGACATGAACACTGTCCCCGGGGGTTCCAAACTCGGACATTCCCATTCAACTGCGGTTCCTGTTACTCTCTTTAACAGCATCAACTCTGCTTCAGTCTCAGAAGCTGGCAGCAGACATGATGTGGGCAGAAGCAGTGAAGATCAACAATCTCAAAACAGCTGCTGTCCCTTAAAAATGAACATCTTCAGCAGCATCACAGTGTATTCTTGAAAGCAGTACACTGCTGCTTTCAAAATAGCTTGGTCATCGGTTGCTTTTCAAAACATCTACTGCCAGGTAGAATCTTTCCCTTCTGGTCGAAATGCATGACGGCAATTGCTAGATGAGCTTGGGGAGTGTGGAATATGTGTATGTTAGTGCAAGTCTGAAAACTGTTCTTATAACTTTATAAGTCTTTTAGCAAAATGGCAAAAGACCACATGCGGGCGTAAGAGCTGCTCAAAGGCTTCCCTGATTGGCTAGATGCAGCTCTTCCGGTATCTGAAAGGCCTTTAAATTAATTGCTCACTTTGACATGCAGTGGTTCACAACCAAAAATCTGCAAGGAACCCAGGGACCAGGTCTCAGCTATAATCCAGAACTCTAAATAAATAAATAGATTTAAAAATGTAAAAATACAAAATACTGCAAGAAGTGTATTAAATCAAGCAAAATTTTAATATGTACTTTTTCGGAGGCACACTGACTGCCATTATATATTGCACATAACAGTTTTCAAATGTGTAAAAAGCTGAAAATAAGCAAAAAAAATAAATAAACCGCTTCCTGTAGATTTCCATTTTTTAATTCTATGTATTGCTGAAATACATTGTTAGCAGCAGGAACAAGAAAAACCATTGAAGTGTGGCTTAGGATTGAAAGAGGTCGGTAGAGCCTGATACACAACGACCAGGATGGGGTAAAGAGCAGGTTCACACGCTGCCAGGGAACCCGCCTGAGGCAGGATGCTCTGGTGTCCATGCGCCCCCTGGGGTCTGCGGTGTCCTGGTGCCAGTGGTCAATCTTCACGTCCCTTATACGTGGGGGGAAGTTCACTCGTGTCAGGTCACACCGGTAAACAGAGGAGGCCGGCCGTGCTCCTTACCTCCTGGTTGGCGGCGGCCAGCTCCTCCTCCAGGGCCGAGACCCTCTCCAGGGAACCCCGCAGCCGTTCCCTGACCTGCAGTGGACAGACATTCCATGAGCGCCTGCTTCTCCGGGGGAGCTGCACCACCTACGATGGCTACCGGCCCCCGGCTCTCGTCACGCCTCATTAAATTCGTACCTCATAAATCATACCTCAGTAACATCGTTTCCAGCATAATCATCTCACAAAAGGTTTGACAGATGCTCTGATTAACCTGGTAGTTCAGGTGACCATAGACTGCTCACCACGAGCATACCATCCCCAACCCCAGATCCGGGATAAAATGCAAGCCATTACTTATCCAGTTCTGAATCTTAATCATTTACCACAGCATTAACAGGACACTACATACATCAGTATGACATTACAGAGCTGTACATCCCTGTAAAGAGCTGCGGAATCACTCTGTCCATACCTTCTGTGTTATCATTAATCGCTTTAATTCTTCACACCTTTAGTCCACTTTGCTGTAAAACGCAGCACTCTAGGTCAGGAGCACTTTTACAAGGAAGTAGATTTTTAACGGAGATTCACTTGCTAAAATGACAATAGCTGACTTGAAGACAACTGGCTGGAACATTACACATCCTCACAGGAGTCCTAAATTTGGAACCTAATTGGATTAGTCTGGTTTCGGGGCCCAAAATAATATGATTTCATGGGGCCCTCTAGCAGGGCCCCAGGGTTAATGTTCTGATTTGTTTCCTGGATGTTCAAAATACTCCCGGCTGAACTTTTTGATTCTGTAAAACTGGCACTGATCTTATGACAGAACAAACACTAGAACCACTGTCTGGGACAACAGAAATACAATTTAACAACATCCATGTTAATTAAGAAGAATGCATGTCGATGATTAAAAACAACTGCAAAAAAAAATCACACATCATATTTCTTGAGGAATTTGTAAAAGGATGTCAAGGTTACTTATTACTATACAGTAAGTAACTGTAGATTGCAAAAAGGATCAACATTGACCCAAGCAAACCTGCTGAATTATTTTAGAATACCATTAAATTTTATATTCGGGTCGATATTATGTTATGTTCCTGTGACCTTTTACGTTTGGTCCGGGTCATACTTCTGCAGATTATAACTTCATTAAGGGAGAGATATGTAATTCGTTTAAACTAATCCATCTTTTTCCTAAATTACTGCCACAGGCCGAAATTTCAGGCAATATTTAACGTGACTGATTTTACTTGACCTTTGTAACCTTACATAATAAAGATAATATGAATTTCAGTTCAGTTCAGACTCGCCAGTGCACCTCATTTAGGGAGTTTTACTACAGGTAAGGTGGGGCACTACAGCAGAATTGACTGTGCTAAAGTATACCTTTGCAAATCCTCTCTCTTCATTTGATTATTATACTGACTTGTAACCAGGCAACCTAGACAAGAACAAAGATTAAATAACTGTCAGTCCTGCAAGCTACAAACGATATTGTCTCTAACATGGTTCCACACACAAACATTCCCACACATAGATCCGCGCGATACACTGAACAGATCCGCTTGCCATGGACATTGTAGCTGGTGCTCGCGCTATATGAGCTAATGAGCGCTCTCTTTCTGAGCCCTGGAGATGTTACAAATGATGAAACCTAGTTATTACAGTAGTGCTGTCAGCAGAATTGATTATACAGGCAGAAATATCACAGCCAAGACCATAAATAACGCAAGATGAGACTATAATGCTAGAGGCACGGGGTCACACACACACAGTCATATTACGGGATTTAAACAAATTCAATAAAGAAATTAAGTGGATTCCTGGCTCTCTTTTCAGCTGGTGGTAGCTGAAAGCAAGAGTCTTTCTGTGACATGTGAATCTCTATGAAAGGCAACATCCATCGCACAAGTCACAGTATAGAATGTAGCATCTGACCACCTGGGAAAATCACAGCAACACAAGCCAATGATTTTCTCCAAATCTCTGCCAACAATGAGCCTCTGCTTGTTCTTACCTTTTCATCTAGGGCCTTGTGGTGCTCAAACAAGGACTTGAGGGCTTTGAGGACCTCGACTTCACTGGACACGCCCGACGGGGACTGGGCCTGCCGCTTGACGACGGTCATGCGCAGGGAGCGCTCGTGCCGGGACACCAGGCACTCCAAGTGCTCCAGAAGCAGCTGGGGACACACACACATGTACACACACACACATCACAGTGTCACTGTAATCCATCATCATGACATCAGCTGACACAGGCATCTGATTTGTGGGTCATGTGACCAGCATGCCACATAGTTTCCAGATTTTTCCTCGATTGTAACACATAATAGCAAAAACAGGGCAGGCAACGGTTCTCCAAGTCTGCAGGGTCGTTATTTCCACACCGGCCATTTGTTCTGGTAGATGTGTGGACACCGGGTGAACACAGTATCATGAGAAAGCAGCGTATAAACAAAGGACTGAATGCGGAACAAACCCACAAGCCTGCAGTCATGCTAAGGCCTTTCCTGACTGGGGGAATGTTTCCAAGTAGCTCCCATTACCAGCTTACATATTTGGAACCGTGGAGTTGCTTGGTTCCAACTATGTAAGTTGCTAACATTTTTAGCAACTGCGCTTTTGGGAAATGAACCCTGGACTCATAGCTGGCATTCAGGTAAAGGCAGAGAGGACTGAATGAGATGAGCAGCACTGCCTGATACAATCATCAAAATCAGAATCGATTTTATTCGCCAAGGAGATTGCATGTCCAAGGAATTTGCTTTGGTGAATTGTTACATAGAATGCACGGACCAAAATAAATTCAGTGCACGGTACAATACACTACACAATTCTCTATCTTATATGGATCAAAGGATAGACTTCAATATCAATCATTAATACAGAGTGGGACACAGAGGCAGCAGTGATTAAAGTCTAGGACAGTTTTGATTAATTAGAGCTGCAGCATGTGGAAAGAAGCAGTTCAAGTGGCAAGTTGATTTAGCTCTTATGGTCAGAAGGCGTTTATCAGAGGGGGATCTCTGGTGTCCAGGGTGAGAAGTTTCAGATTTGATCTTACTCCCTCTCTTCCAGACTGGATTCAAGGAAGGCTGCAGGCGATAATAATTTTTGCAGACCAGCAATCTCCCTCTGGAATGAGCCGACGTGACACCAAACCAAACGGTGTCCGAGGAGTCCATGATTACGGTGTAGGATCGGATAAGTGTTTCTTGGGTGGGAGAATGCATTTCTTCATTTGCCATAGGGACACCCAATACTGTTTTGTGATGCTGGTGATGTTCTCATCCCACTTTAGTTTCTAGGACAGGACAGCACCCAGGATGAGGAATGACTCAACCATGCCAACTTTTAAGTCATTTAAGTCTTTAAGTGGGAGGTGAAGAGGAGGCTGACTGAGAAAGTCATTTACCATCTCCTTTGTCTGTGTATAGCTGAGGTCTAGATTGTTTTGACTGCATCAGGGTGACAGTTGTTCCACCGCTCGTCTGCAGTCTCGTCCCCACTGGAGATGAGATCATTAAAGCTTAACAGCAACATACCTCAGTAAGAAGTCAAAAGTTCCACATGACTGCAAACACCAAACCTCTAGCTGTTTCTTTCACGCAGTCTCAGGCTGCCAGGTCACAAACATTGCCCCATTTTCCACAAATAGCCATTGCCATCAGGGACGTGTTAACTGGCAGATAGCATTTAACACATGGTAACCTTCTTTGCAACCCCTAAGACCTGTAAGACTCCTAACAAGACATGCACCTAACATGGACCTCTATTAGTGTAACTATGCCCAGCTGGAGAAAGGTGGCAAGTTGACTTTGGAACCCCAAGAACTTGCATTCATCAAAGAGTCTACGAACAGGACTTCTATCTCCACTGACTCCCGTCTTCTTTAATGCATAAAGCCAACTGCACTGAAACTTACAGTGCAGTCGGTAATGCTCATCCATCCATCCATCCATTTTCCAACCCACTTATCCTTCTGGGCATTGGGGGGATTGGAGCCGATCCCGGAAGCTACGGGCACGAGGTGGGGAACAACCCAGGACAGGGGGCCATCGCAGGGTAATGCTCATCCTTTAAGTGTTATTAGGGGAGGGGATGCTAGCAAGGGCACTGCACAAAAATTATATACCCATGTTGGTTTTGGATGCGATGATGCGGCGTAGAGGCTGGAGCCCAGAGTCCCAGTAACACCAGGCCCTTCCTGTACCTGCCACGTTCATACAGCTACTTCCCCAAGGTATTCCTAAGACCCTCTGATCTTTACAAGCGAAGCAAAAAATAAAGCGACGTGTCCGTATACAGGTTAAATTCCATGCTGGTATTTACTTTGACCGCCACGATGAACTTAAGGGGGGGGGGTGTTGTCGGCTTAGCTGTCAGTGTCACTGTCTGCTCTCCAGAACACAAGGCCACAGGACAAAGACAAAGCTTGTCAACAGTCCCCACTATATTTACAATTTATATTTGCTTCCATGATGCTGTAGCCCGGAGTGACTCACCGTTTCATGCATCTTTACAGCTGGAAGCTGCACCACAGCGAGGCAGATTATCAAAAATCTTGGCTCAGGAGTACAACAGCTGAGCTGGTCAAAGGACGTGAACCAAAACCAAGCCCTTAAACAGGGTGTTACCTTTAATCTGTGCTGGCCTGGTGATGACCATTATTTTGGCTGGGGAACAGGCAACCCCCCACCCCAGCGGTCACCGTCTGTTTCTCTATTAGCATCTTGCTCTTCCAGCTGTCACTCCGCACAGGGGTTGTATTGGCGTCCAACTCGGGACAATTGATTTACCGCCAGTCCCGCTAATATTTGGGCACATCTGCATAATCTAAATTCACTCAATTACAAAAATCGATTCGAAAACAACTTAAGTTGTATTACGTTATCTACGATTCAGTAACCTTTGAGAGGTGGAGATTCGACATCAACAAGATCAATTGTCACTGGCAGTGATAAATCTACTGGTTCGTGAGAGTGACTGTTACATACTAGACCAAAAATGCCACCTCTAAACACCACCCAAAAGCTTCCTTTAAGGTCCCACAAGTAACTAATAATGAATATATAAATAGCATTTTTCATTGATTGTTTATTATGGGCCTATTCATGTCAATGAAAGGCCCATATTACTCTTCACCTAGTTATTATTATAATTACTATAATTAATATTTTGATACTTGGTACATGGCATTTTGACCCAAGATTTCAGTATGCTGCTGTATACCGTATTACTGTCATAGTATAATAGTTTAATGCAGTTCATAAAGGTTTACCTATTTTACTACAGGAAGTTCCTGGATCCGTTCCTAAGTCTGTCTTTAAGTCGAATTTGTAGGCCAGTTTGAACATAGTATATGCACAAGCGTCCGCACGCACAACTGTGCACCGACAGTAACGGCACAAGGAAAAGTGATGTATGAACTAGGCTTAACACACCAACGTTAACGTTGCTATGGGATGATGTCATTATACACGATTTACACAGCATCCTAAATTGATGACAAAATTTGTTGCCGACTATTTTCATTAGTGGTTATTAGCTATGCTAATCGAAAATGATCTGTATCCTATAATTCAATATGTAGAATTTTATATGGAGGCCATTTTCAAATGTTTCTGTGTAAGATTTCTATTGATTCGGATCTTTTTGCTCCTCTCAGGTGTCTTAATCTTTGAATTTTGCACACATGCTCACCCCTGCAGGTAAATATTTCGGCATGGATTTTCACATGCACGTGATTACCGTTTTTGTTCTATAGGAGTTCCTTGCCACTTCCAGGTGTCGTTAATAACACAAAAATTTAAGCCACATTAGATCATCCATATAATTTTAGACAAAATCTAACATTTCAATCTAAAACTTAAAACATATAGTATGAAATGCTTCATTGTACTTCCTTCAGAAGAATACATAACAGAAAGTATTACACAACAAAACCGCTGGCTGTTTCTATGAAGGACAACAAACCTCAAAGACCGACAGTATGCACACCCTGAGACGGGCAGGTTCTCCTTCCCCACTCACCCGCGTGTTGTTCCTCTCCGCCTTCAGCTCAGAGATCTCCTCCTCCTTCTCCAGCAGCTGCTCCCTGCATGCATTCAGCTCCTTGGTCAGGGCAGCAAACTCCTAACAGAGGGAATCACAAGGGAGATGGATCAGCATCGAGGTCCACCGGGATATGGTTCACATGGTGACGAGCCAGCGGTGTCACAACTGCACCGGTGATGCGTTCTCTTACGTGTTTGTGCAGCCACTGTAAAGCTACACATAACTTTACTGCTAACTGCACGCTTTCTTTTAACTCAAAATCATTTCATGCCCAAATCAACAAACAAATTAAAGCATTTTGGGAAAGTAGAAATCCGTTGACGAAATAAAGGCGATTATGTGTTAATGGTACTCCGCTCTCCACACTAAGAGAATAAGAGGATTGCTTCACACAGCTGGTTGAGCGGACACACGCTAGACTTCAATGTGGCAACGAATGCACTCAACAAAATTGCGTTTTTGTGCGGCAAATCTCTCAGCGTGCATCTTTTTTGTTACTGTGATAGGGCACCAAAGGAAAACACTCGACACATCATGTTAAGGGACAAAAAAAAAACACACACACGCTTGCAATTGACTTCCATACTAAATTTGTATCATGAAAACAGGCAAATGTCTCAGAAGTATCATGGCTAAATAGGAGAGACTGAGAAGGAGCTTCTATCCTCAGGCCATAAGACTTCTTAACCAGGACATGCCGCCACAATCTGATAATACAAACTCATAATATGGAGTCATCTGCTGTCACTCACTAACCTCAGAAATATGGTTCAGCACACATCACAACTGCACACTGCACTTTAATATACATTACAGTAATATAGTATTACAGTACTTAAAATATATGCACACTGTACAGTAAGGTATACTATTACTTAAACATATGCACACTGTCTACCTTCTATATTTCTTCTATACCTTTTCTATATTTATGCATATTGCATGTTGTACGTGTATAACTATACATGTGACAGATAAATGAATCTTGAATCTTGGAGCAAAAAAAGCCAACTAATGCAACAATTATATAACTGGATGTGGACTCATAACCCAAAGGAATTCTAATCAAATGCAAGACTCTCTGCAGACAAGTGAAATTCTGTAATAGTTCCTATGAACTAGAAAAACTCATAAGAATCTACTTATCGAGACAGTTCTGAAAATTGTAAATCGGCAACAAAACAGCCTAACTGGAAACAAATGCAAATATAAAAGAAGCTGTACTGCTAATTTGGAATCCCTGCCATTTTCATAGCCAAAGTCTCCACTCTGTAACATTACACCTTGTTGCCAGGACAAATCATACGCCAGAAAGCCTAAAGAAAGAAGTATACAGAGCAGAAAAGCTACAGTTCCTAAGTCCGGCATCAGTGATAGAAGTGAGGTCTTAAGGGCAGCATGACACACTGGGACCTGGAAGACACGGAGGCAACAGGGGCCCTGCTGCCTGGGGCATGTGCGCTGGCCACAGGGCTTTGCTTTCATTCTCTGGGGATCGCAGTTCAATGGCATCTGCTGTGTACAGAGATCCAATACACACAAAGCAGCTGGAGGAGCACACTGTGGGCAGCAACTGGAGGGGCACACTGTGGGCAGCAGCTGGAGGGGCACACTGTGGGCAGCAGCTGGAGGGGCACACTGTGGGCAGCAACTGGAGGGGCACGCTGTGGGCAGCAGCTGGAGGGGCACGCTGTGGGCAGCAGCTGGAGGGGCACACTGTGGAGGGGCACACTGTGGGCAGCAGCTGGAGGGGCACGCTGTGGGCAGCAGCTGGAGGGGCACACTGTGGGCAGCAGCTGGAGGGGCACACTGTGGGCAGCAGCTGGAGGGGTACGCTGTGGGCAGCAGCTGGAGGAGAACACTGTGGGCAGCAGCTGGAGGGGCACACTGTGGGCAGCGTCTGTCAGCAATCCAGGGGAACCCAGCAGGGTCACCTTCAAGTAATACCACCCTGAACCTGTGGTATTGATTTCACACTCTTCTGCATGGTGTGGCTGATTTTATCACAAGCATATATCGAGGGACAGACCCTGTTACACATAACAGTGCGTAAGTCTAAAGTTTTATTATTTTTTATTTTTTTGCGGTGGGCAAATGCTATCAAGTTACCACTATCCTAGTAATGGCTGCTACGGCTTATTTACACAAAATGCACAAAATTAAGCAAAACCCACCAGTAATCTACTGATATTCCTATTACATATATACTGAAGCATATACCTGAAACCTGCTGAAGACACTTACACTGACGTAACACACTACAAAAGTTCCAGGCATGAAAAGTTGCGCCACGATACTAACGTGAACATCTCCAACAGATACCCACATAACATGGCAGACACGAAGGGTGTAATTCACTCAGTCACGCTCGGAAAAACGAGGCTTCCCCCAGGCCACACTGCGACTGGGGGCCTGTCATGGCAGTCGGCCTGCCTGTGACGTCTCCTAAAGGGTTGTGTGCCTCTGGTACCCTTGACGGACCAGTGTAGATGATAGCCTTCGCCTCCTGCATGACCCTCACAGGCTCTGAAAATCCACCTGTGCCTCCCCTTGTGACAAACGGCATATTTTTTTCAGGTAACCTTTCTTTATGGAACTTTTAAAGGAGCATCGCTTGGGATTAAAGGACATGATGTCATATTTCTAAAGGTCACACCATAAGCTGGCCTGTGGAAGGACAGCATCTCATTCGTCATCCAATCAGAACTGACAACCACAGAACGTACGGCAGAAAAGACCCTACAGTCTGAGTCCCTTCCTGCTGGTAGTATTGTATATAATAGTGGGGATGGGCAAATGATGTAAAGACCCAACAATATATTAAAATACCAAGGACCTAATATGGAAGAGGGTCACCCTGTTCCTTCAAAACAGCTTCTGTTCTGCTGGGAATTCTGTCATGCACATCTTGGACTGTATATTTCGGAGGATATCAGACCATCCTTCAGGAAGAAAAGGGTCGTCGTGCGATGAAGGAGGTGGAAATCGACATCCACAGCATCCTGCAAACGTTCAGTGATGTTTAGATCCAGTGCTCATGAGACCACGGCATGTGAATTTGTTTAGTGGTGTGAATGAGGGCAGCATCACCTTGGGGACATCATGAAGGAAGAGTTTGTGCACCTGGTCTTACAACACGGCCTCATTCAAACGCCTCGGTTGTCATACGACTGCGAAAAGAAGCATCAAACTCGATGACTCTCAGAAGATGGCTTCTCATAGCATTGCAGAACCCCAGATTGTGGATGGAAAGCTCTCCCCAAATGCAAACCTGTCTGGATGTAGGGAAATGGCTGAACAATGACTCATCAGGCCAAATTACTTATGTCCATTGTTCCGGGGTCTTGCTATCGTGTTCCTTACACCAAAGTATGCATCTTTGTGGGCTGGTCCTGGATGCATGCGCATTCTGAACTTCAGCCCAGAAATAAATCTCAGCTCTGTGAAGCTCATGACAGACCATTTTTGTTCTGAATGGGTCACAGAGGTACTGACTCTTGTTCTGTGGTTCTGTGGCCATTTCAGAGCTTAGACTTTTGTGGTGTTTAGCGACTATCCTGTTATGTGTCTGTCTATCACTGCTTGTGAGCTTTGACTCGCAGCCAAGTTTCCTCTCCGTCAGTGCAGTCCGTCTGTCTTTGGCGCATGCTATCGTGATTATGTAAAATGTGGTTGACAAAGCAAATCAGCACAGATACCTTATTTCACCTCAGGTGAAAATACACCCTAACCCGGGACTGGAATTACACAGAGTTTTCAGTTCTGTTGACCCTTTGACTAGCCTGCCAATATGGTTAGTAGTCAGGATAATTGTTACCACACCGCCGGGCTGCATAGGAGGTGCTCGCATAGAAAACCAATGCGGCATGACCGAGAGCCACGGACCGGGCCAACTGGAGCAGAACCGGAGCAGGTGGCTGCTGCCGCTGCAGGGACTTCTGGACAAGACATGAAACCATCCCGAATCTCACATATCAAACCAGACAGCCCACATGAGGAAGGCAGGAAACAGCTGCGGTGTACGGAAACCATGGAGACCCTGGCGATGCCGACCCCCTTCGGCAATCATCTTACCAGCACCAATGCATCTATTCAGCGGACTGGACGTGCGAATGCCCATTCACAGCTGCTCATGCGTGTAGAGCTTTAGCATCATGCACCAACGCAGCTTTACAGCCGCCTGGGTGCGGCAGCCCTCCGCAGCTTAAATAAATATCAAGGCCTGCAGTTAGCATGCGGTGCTCAGCCACTGGGAAAAGCAACCGCTGCTATACTGCAAGTTAAAAATCCCTCCCTGTCTCGCTCCTCAAAAACCTTTGGGGGCAGGTTTGCTAATGATAAAAACCACTGTAACTACAATGCTAATTTATATTCCATCAGACTTCTCCTATCAGTCGGTGACATTCACAGATAGGGGCTAAAAGGAAGGGAAAAAACAACCATTCCAGTGTATTTATTTTTTAACTACATCCAAAGCACCACCTTCATGGTAGTAAACTGGGTCTCAGCCTCTAAGCAAACCCCTAACAATTCATCCAGAAAAAAAATTACCCATCATGCACAGGCACAACATGTCAGGGAAAAACTTTATCAAACAATTCTTAAATGCCTTCAGTTATTCTGCCTTAATATTAAAACATCATGATACGACTGAGAGGTTTACACAAGCTTATAATTACTCTTCAGTTCTTTGCTCGACTTATGCATGCTGAAATTTACCATGCTCAGGAAAGTGACATACACACTAAGTGCTCAGGAAAGGGACATACGCACTAAGTGCTCAGGAAAGTGACATACTGTACGCACTAAGTGCTCAGGAAAGTGACATACACACTAAGTGCTCAGGAAAGTAACATACACACTAAGTGCTCAGGAAAGTGACATACACACTAAGTGCTCAGGAGAGTGACATACACACTAAACCCATGACACTTCTTTGCTAATTATGCACTGAGCATTCGAGCAGATTTTATTCTGAGGTGTGACTGATCTATAAGCTCAGCAGACTGTCCCTCGATGTGGGACACAGACACAGAATCCAAATTAAGTGCCACATTCTTACTGTCGTAATTTTTTTT